CTTCAACACCTCACCAAGTCTAAGACACACAAAGATGTTCAGAAATATAACACAGTACCATCATACTGTTTTTTTCTTTTACCTAAAGTTTTCCAGCTCAACAACTTCAGTTGATTCTTGCCACTGACCATGAGGGTTTTGTCCATTGCTTTTGACATTTTGCAGGTATCTTGTTATGCTGGATTGACCATTTTGGAAACCTACAGCTGGAAGCTAAGGAAGAGAAGCAGGGTACTCATGAGACAAAGAGTTGGTTTTAACGGTTTTACAAGAATTTTAACATGAAAAAATACCTTTTCTCAAGTTCTGGCTTGAACTATAGACACTGTTCAACTTTCCATCCATAACTGCCATTGTAAAATACACACACAAAAACACATCATGCGATAAAAAAAAGTGAACATTGATGCAAAGCAAGGCTGGAAAACACGTGTGGAGACATAAAATATTAGGAATAGTACCTTTTCAAATTTATAATAGTAAAGCTTGAGAAAATCTGCAACATATACTCATTTTCTGTTTCTTACCTTTCTCAATTCTGTGAGTTGAGGTGAAGATTTTACTATGTCCTAGAAGCTTTAAGCGCTGATATTTATGCCCTGAAGACTTTTAGCTGAAGTGTTATTCTCCAGAGACAAATTGTTTATGGTTAAAATGCTGATTTTTTTTTTAATTTTTTGTATTTTATTACTCTTCACCATGTCATAACTAATAAATCTATTAACCTTCCTTCTTGTGAAATTGTGGAAGGATGTGGAGTAAATCTGTGAGGGTAACTGACTGTGTGTGTTAATAGCTGGATACAACCCACTTGAGATACTGACATAAAGTAATTGTTTTTCCTGTTTAAATAAAGATTATGGCAGAGTAGGATGGGAGTTGGCTCAGTTTCATTCTTTCACCCTTTCTGAGTAGGATTTGCCCGATAGAGAAGCACTAATATTGCAGGCAGAGGTGGGGGGGGCCACCACATCCACTACACAAGGTTTTAGTAACTTTGCATCATAATAGAGCACAATATCATAAGTATCTGCCACAAACCATAATCACTATTATTTATAATTATGCAATTCTTCAGCATGTTTAATTATAGTTATTGAAAAATACCTGCTGTTTGCTTGACAGAACATTTAGGAGGGACTGAAGTCTTTTAAGATCAGAATAATCCCTAGAATAAAACAAAATAGCATAAATATATGTTAATAGCTACATAAATGTATTTCTTAAGAGTAAAGAAGGTCAGCAAACAACAATACTACTGACAGAAAATAAAGTTTTCTGGTGTTTAGTGTCCTCGTTTTACATGGAGAAGAATTTATAGCTTCTCCAGAATGTGTTAAATCAACAAAGGTGTAAATAAACTTTGTGACCAGAGTAACAGTTGTCATGTTTATACTGCATTTCAAATTAAAGCATTCTGCTTTGGCAGCTAGTGCAAATTCCACATGGGTCCTGCTGAAGTTCAAACAAAGACGTCAGATACTATACCTCACAGAAATCCCATGAGGCTTTTTGTCTGTAGCTTTTTCTATGCTCTTCAGCTTTTTGTCCTGATGAGGCATTGTATGTATCATTGTCATCATTGCATGACTAAGAACTCATTTCCTTAAAAATAAAGTAGATCAGGGTTATATTACTGCAGCATTAAGCAACAAATGTCTACTCACAGAACTAACTGAAATGACTAGGAAAAAAAAAAAAAAAACAGCTCTACCATTTTTGCAACACAAAACTTTAGGCATTACATGAAAATGCTCTTTAGAATTTCAGATATTAACAAGTAAGTAATAAACCTAATATACAGAAGCCTTAGTTTTCCAACACATTTTTGGTGAGGGTAAATAATACCAGCTGTCTTGCTATTGCACTTCATTTCTATTAGGCTTTTTCTTCTTATTTTTACCATTATTTTTCACCATGGATTGGCTATTGATGTTACAGCAGTGCTCACAGGCTGACATCGAGGTTGTATCTTACAAGGTGTTGTCCAGGCAACAAAGGAGATAATGGTTTTATCACCTAATTACAAAAGGTGGATCAAGGGTAGAAAAAGGAGGTATCTGACAAATAAATGAGATGCACACATCATGCAGTCTAGGAAAGAACCACAGAAATTTTCAGCAGAGGTTGGAATCCAGGTCTTATGAATTTCAGCTGGATGCCTTATTCCAACAGCACCCAGCTTTCCTTGCAGTGGGACGTACAGCTTGTTGCAGTAGATGAACAGAGATGTAATGGATTGGCCCTGTGAGGGCCACTACCACGCATTAGATCCACTGCATACAAGCATTCTGTTTATTTGCATCAGATTCAGTAGGTCTGACTTCCAAGAAAAAAACAAGGCTAAGTATCACCTACTGGACAGGATCAGTACCACTGTATGATATCCTTTCTGCTTATTTTACTATTCACTAAACAGACTGGATGTTCCTTGTCCTGTGTTTAACAGGACATCTCTTTGAAATCTTATAGCCTTCTTTTCTCTTTGTGCAGTGTAGAGTAATGCAATTGGTTTTTATTCCTGTTTCTCATAAAGGCAAAGATGATGACAACCAGGATGGAAACAAGCATGGTAAACTATCAGAAGCTGCTGTTTCCCTCCTGAAAATTAGAGCTGTTTTCCCAATTATACATTCTCACATCAGGCACAGAAATACACAAAAAGCAACTGCTGACAATATGAACTCGTGCACTCAGGGAAGTGTCCTGCAAGCTCAGCTCATCCGCCCCTGTTGTATTGCACAAGCCTTTATCCTATCACCACTAATCACACAGAGAATCATTGATCTGGATCCCCAAGAAATTCCTCCACTCTCCTCCAATATACAAACTATATCTTCTCTGTCTTAACCCTCATCACCCCATAGCTTGTCCCCAAGTACAAGGGCAGGGAAAATACAACAGAGCATTTGTCTGTGAGACTTAAAGTGTTGGTGCCCTTCTGCTTTCCTGCAGATATAAGCCAACGTAACTGCCAGCTGCGGTAAAAATGACAGCCCCTGTCCCCTCCCAAGTTCAGCCACTCCTCTCCACTTCTTCAGCTTACCAGCCCCAAACCTGTGCCAGTTTAGAGAACTAAACAGGAAGAAAACTGTGTAAGTCTGTTTGTATGGTTAGTTTTCTACAAATTTAGCTGTTACAGTGGCCCAATGAACATCTCTGCTGACAAGGCAGAGGGCAGGAGTGCACGGCTGCAGAAGGTGGAGAGAAGAGCAGAAAATCCTTTCATTGGTAGTCAGTCCTGAAATCAGGTGGGTGTACTGGCACCACGCCCTTGGCGAGGGGTTACCAAAGGAACAACCCCTTGTTTTCCTTGTACCAGCCATAAACCTGAGAGAAAACAGACATGAAAAATTTCCTTACCAATTCACACAGTGACTTGACTTTCCTGAATCGCTAAGTAAGTTCCCACCCATGCGTTTCTTCTTTACTTGTGCCAGAAGAAATTTCCATGGAGCCAGGCTATTAACTATCTTATTAACTGTGCCCCAGCTATTAAGCCGGCCCCATGAGTAATGCATAAGGAACAAACCAAACAACACTTGCACTTTATTCAGGTAGTGCCAGAAAAAGATTGAGATCATGCAACTTTTAAAAACAACAGAAACACATTAAGGAAAATAACTCTACAGTGTGGAGTCTTATTCAATTCCATTTAAAACAATGAAATGAGAGCAATATTAATTAATTCATTTTAACTGGTAATAATTACGTTTAATTATTTACGTTAACTCAATTACAAAGGAAGAGAGATGCATTCTGATAGTGCTGGCGTGCAGGATAGGACAAGAAACGTTCCAGGAACCCTGACAGAACGAACTCACATGATGAGAAACAGGAGACAAAGGAATTACCGCAACAGATTTGATCTGTGGCCCAGTCTAGTATCTGTCTCAGATGACACAAGCACATAAAGCTTCAGAAGGTGAAAAGAAACCCCAAAATAAACAAAAACACAAAGACACATTGGAGGATAGATCAACCTCCACAAACGACAGCGCAACGCTTAGAAACTCGGTTTAAGAAAATGATATGTTATGGCCTGTATAATCTTTATTAGCAATAACCAGTGGATATAAGTAACAAACAGCTTTGTAAGCTAACTAGCTGCTTGTTTGACCTTGAACTCCTTTCTTAATCACTCTAGGGGCCGAGTTCCACTACCTAATTACATACAGCAGTTGAACTGGCTTAAGCTGGATAAAGAAGCAACAGATACGTTATATCCTGGCTTTAGTAAGACTTTTGATGCTGTTCCTAGATAGGAATGTATCTAAGCTGGGTGAGGTCAGACGAAAAATCACTCAAAAGAGCAGTTATCGACACGTTATTGTCAAAACAGAAGTGTTTCGAGTAACGGTCAAATGGCGTCAGAGGAAGATCAAAGATGACAAAAAAAGGTTCCCAAGATGTACTTCTCCTCCAAGCAGATGAAACTGAAGGCAACTCTGGAGCACTTACCCCTTGTTCTCGCAGAGCATTCCAGAAGCATCAGCGCCAGCCCAGGGAATCCCCGGCTGGTGAGCACGCACAGGCAGCGTCTGAAGAGCTTCGTGTGTGTTTAATCAACTTACGTGTGTCATCAACTGAACCCATATGGAAATCTGCAAGGTTACTACACATGAAAACAGTCTGTGGACTGTTCCAGATCATGACCTGCACCCTCAGAGTCTGCCCATCCTCCCCGCCCTAACCCCTCAGCGGCCCCCTCCGAGCCCTGACGGAGATCAGGTCAACCCGCTGCCCCCCTCACCTGCCAGCCCCCGCTCCCAGCCGCTGCCAGGCTTCCCCGGCCCCAGCCCGCGGCCAATCGCGTCCCGCCTTCTTGGCAAGGAACGGCTCGGTGGCCAACCGCGAAGGGCGGTGCTGCGAAGTGCCCGCTGCCCTAGCGACCCGCCGACGCCGGCCGCCGTTGCCATGGGCACGCGGACGCCGCTGGCCCTGACATGGCTGCCACGGGCACAGCCCGGCCCGCAATAAAAACGCCAAAAGCCCTCAGATTTATTGTTCGGTTGATTTTTATTGCTTTTACCAACTGTCCGAAACATTACAAAAGATAATTTTATTCTACCAGTAATTAAAACAATAAAGGCTGGATCTTTCACATCAAAGACAAGTCTGAGAGTCGTGTTTTCTACAGGAACTGAATAGCGAGCGGTTCTACATTTGGAATAACGTTGTCACTGGCTTTGGATTTTGTTAAATTAAAAAAGCATCATTGTAATTAGAAAAACAGTCATAAAAATTTGAACCGTACAGTTATCACATTTCAAATAATCAGCGTTAAGATCAAAATCGTAGTTCAGCTACAGATGCTGAACCATGGAAGACCCAGTTGCGCAGGAGTATCAGCAACGATAGAAAGAAAACCCATTATAAATCACGTGTCTTGTTGATAAATCATCATTTAGAAAAGTACTGATTTTCAAACTCAGTCATTATTCCAAATAAACGTCAACAGATACTAAATTCAATATGAAAGTGTCTTTAGATTAACTTCAACGACAACTAAGAAGTTCCTATAAGTTTTCACTAAAAAGTTACAAAATAAAATTGACTTAAAATTCTAAGCAATTTGCTTTGTATTTATAGCACTACTTTTACACTGACTCAAAGCTGTGTGCTTCTAGTCTTAAAATCTGCTGTAAAATAAATTACTGTTGGTATAAACAAAGTATTTCACACGTTTGTACTGTACTTGATAATGAATTTGAACTAGATGAGTAATTAAAACATTACTAATCACATACAGCAAAATGAAAACTAAAATCATAGCGATGCTCATCTAACAGACTACATTTCTGACCCAAAAATCATGAACCATTTATCTTCTGATTTACAGAATGTATGTACAAGATAACCCTTTAAAATGGTGCAGGCTCTGTGACATGACACCAATTTGTTACAGATATATTTTACAACAAGTTGAACCTGTCTTTGCAAAGGGCACAAATTAGGAAGCTACCATATAAAGACAAAGATAGAGGTGAAGTAGATGAAAAGTTATTGGAGAGCTTTCATTACATATAGAAAAAATGGCCAATACATTTGGTTGAAAAATCCCACTAGGGCACCAAATTCTATCCTAACAGGCTTTACGACGACAAACTTGGCAATTTGGAACATTTCACTAAATAACAATGTAAGATGTCCTGTTACAGCTGCAACATTAATCTAGGAAGAAACTATAATGAACTTGGGCATATGTAAACAGAATGAAATCGTAATACACATGAAAAGTACTAAAGAGTTTTGTAGAACATAATTTAAACAGGAGACTGCATTTTCTCTGAAATATTTTAGATGATAATTTAAATGGAGTGGTCAAAATTAAGACCTACACTTTATGTAAACATTCATATTTATAAATAAATTAGAAAAAGAAAAGGGAAAAAAAAAAAAAAAAAAAAAACAGGGACTTCCTGAGGTGGCTCTGCAGCCAGATACACAGTAGCACTAAGCTCCATTCCGGGAAACCAAGGCATCTAAAAAAAGTGCAGGGTTGTTTATTTTCTTAACTGTTGGAATGGAAATATATTGGCTTAATTTTTATAGGGCTTAATCCCTATGAAAGAATCAGTGCACAGTATTTATCACTGTTCTTTTGTACCCATTAAGGCAAAACATAAATCTACATATGGTCTGTTAATTATATCATTAGCTGTTTTACTTTAATACTATGCACAATTTTAAAGCAGAAGTGGTGTAAAATGAGCAGCAAATTACTTAACCATAAGTTATCAATGGGTTTTTTATGCACTTAATACCAGGTCTTCTTGTATTTGTGTGGGGTGGGAAAAGTGCAAGCATAACGTACTACTAACAAAGAACACTGGAACTAAAGGTCACTGTAAACTGCTTTGCAAGTCATAGTACTTCTGGCACTGATTTAAATGTCTACACAATTAATGAAGAAATACTTTGATTAGACATGTGGACCTTTTTTTTATTATTATTAATATTAATCCACTAGAGAAAAGCCCACTTCTTTTAATATTGGCCCAAACTTAACCCTTCAGAAGAAGCCAGTTAAAAGATGTGCAGCACCAGGAAACCCTGATTTCTGGCATTAAAGAGTTAAAAATCTAAGAGGCTTATACTAATTTTTGGGGGGTCTTTGGAAATCACTGTAGGGCTGTGAACATGAAGTGTAAAATACTAACAGGAAGACTTGTACATGAGTAGTGTACTGTGGATAACACTATGTAAACTGCTCAAAATAGTATTTTCCCACTTTCACCAGGAACTAACTAACAGTCAACAACTGTGGTTTACTTTTTTTTTTTTTTTTTTCTTTTTCATAACGCTAAATTTTTGGAAAACCATCTGCCATACTTTTATTGCATCTCAGTTTGACTAGACGGAAAGCACAGGTATTTTCTGACAGAAAACATACTCAAGGTAAGGCACAAGCTACACTACTACATCTAAGGAAAAAGGAGCATCAATACAGGCCATACACAGTATTAGTCAAATCGGTAATGCAGACCTCACTTTTTTTCCCTGACCTGAGCCTTCATCATGACAGTTTGGGTAGGACTACTCATATTGCTGTACGTTATGATTTTCAGTAAACTGCCTTATCAATTCAGCCAAATGGAAAAGAACATAAAACAACAACAACTACATTATATGTAAAGCAAAAGGTAACAGTGCGTGTAACTTAAAAGCTGTTTTTAAATATTTCCACTTATTCTCACTGATTGGTTTATTTTGTAACATACAATCATCTTCTGTCCAAGTGTCAATTCTCTGAAGAGCACCAGAATTCCACCTTAAATGGTGTTTTCAGATGAACTCCACCCTCTTCCAAAATCTTCTCCTTTTGCTTTTGTTGAGAATTTTACCATGCAGCCCATGGTAAAACTCCCAACTTTGCTAAAAACAGAATTAAGCAAGCAGCCATAGTCTCGGTTTGACATTCACACAGATCTCAATTAAAGCCATTTTAACACATTCAGAAAGGGCTGGTATCACTTCAGAAAATAGACCATTTCAGGAAATAAAGTCAAGAAACTAAGGCATAAGGCAAAAAGAAAAAAAAATAATGGACACTGCAGCAGGTAAGCAATCAAGATTTTCATTTACACATAAAATTCTCATTTGAGATATTATAATGCTAAACACTAGACCTTGAAAATAAGTACAATAAAATGCACTGACTGCATTTTTATCAGTGAGCCCCCAAAAATCCCATTTACTTTAATAAATGAATATTTATTTTTTCAATTGTTCTAACATGATAAAATTTTATACTAATTAAAATAAATAAAATGTTTAAAATTAAGTTGGTGTGCTATCATATATGCCCTTTACAATGGAGAAGATCAGAACTGTACAAACAAATACCACACGCAATTTGTAATCCATAAAATAATACTGATCATAAACCTATCACAGAATTAAACCATGGCAAATTTAATCAAATACACAGTGAATTTTAAAATGAATTAAGCAAGAAAAATATTTTGATGAGGACAAGAAATACTCTGAAATGTCAGTCTTACAGTTGAGTATATCAGGTTTTCAAAGTCAGTGGAAAACGTAAAAACAGGAAAACAATTCAAGAGTGCTAGTGTAGCAAGTATGTATGACTTCCTATAGACCAAATTGCTATCTGTAAATCCAATTTATATTGTGTAAACATGGAGTTTCCAGAATGGCAAATACTGACTTGGGATTGTAACTATAGTTACTGCACTCATACTGCTACTGAATGACAATGAAAAATCAAGAGTGTATTTTAAAAAATAGTAGCAGAACAGAATATTTACATATATTTTAAGGATTGATTAGCCACCTGACTTAGGGCTCTAGGCCATGTCTGTAAAATATGAGTGACAGAATCCAAATAACATTAGCATGTAGTGGAGACATAAAACACAGTAGTTCATGTTAACAGCACATTAATAATTGATCTATGAAATCACAAAAAAATACCCTGCAAAAACAAGCAGTAATTTCCTGCACAGAAAACAAACTTCTGTAGCACATTATAAACAGAGGTATTGCAAAATTCTAAGCAATGTGGACCAGTAATCATCAGCAAAAGCTGACTTAACTTTTATGCACATACTGATTATTGAAAATAATATGCATTCATTACAATCTTCCTATTTAAAAATTAAAATAAAACTTCCGATAAAATAAATAGCTGAAGTGTGATTACCACTCATCTGACTTGTAGGAAAATCTTCTCCTTATGTAAGCATATCTACAGTGCCCTAAACAATGGCAGAATTAAATACATATTACTTAAATTGGAAATCACACTTCAATGGTGTAATACCCTACAGTGATATATACACACGCACAAATACACACAATTAATTCCCCTTGGTTCAGTTCTATAAAGATGTTTCAGCATCCACGTATTTCACAACAGGTGCATCTTCTACATTTATTTTCACACTTTCCGGCTTCTCAGGGCTGTTGAAAGTAAAGATGATCATGATCATTTGAGATACGGTTCACATTACTGAAGGTTGCTTATCAAACATTTCATACGTAACAGTCAACACAGCACTTTATTCAAGTATATTTCTTATACAGCAAAGATGATATTTCAGTCAGGTTTAATTTGTAGAGAGTTTTAAAGTGTGCGGGGGGGGGGGGGGGGGGAGGGGAGGGGTAGTGGGGATACATGACACCAAAAAAACACCAACCCAGGGAAGACCCTACCAGCGTACCAGTGAAAGTGCTGGACTTACCTTTTATTCCCACTGGCATTTGTAATATTTAGGAACAAACAATTCCCATGCTCGTACACAGTCTAATAAAACTTATAGAAACCCTAAACCCAGAGTAGCATACAGTTGTATTAAGCAAATTAAGAGTAGCAATTAAGAGTAGCTTTAAAACTATAATAATACATTTAATAAAACAACTAGAATTCCTTAGACATTGTTTAACGTCAGCGTAGAAAGAAAAAATTAAGTTCAAATTCAAGTTCCCTGCAAGTGAAAAGTAAATGCAAATCTATAAACCATGTATGCTCATTTTTTGAGATATATTTCAAGAAATACAAGCACAGCTATTAGCTGCTAAACACAAGACAGTAGTTAGAAAATGCGTGAGTAATTATAGCTACCTCAGGTTAGCTCTGGTTACTTTGGCATTCTCAGAATTCATGGAAAGAGCCTTCCACTGTGCAGTTTTGGCCATTTCGTCTGATATGTTTACAATTGAGGGATCAACGCTAAAGAACAAACATACTTTCTGGTTAGTATTCAATACCTTGCAACAGCATTATACTTATCGTCACTCATCAATTACATCAGTTGTGCCTTCTTTGAATATTTACGCAGCCACAAGTTGAATTCACCCCTTAGAAAGGTATTTAAACAAAAATTTGAAAAAGTTTAACTCGCTTGTGCAGCCTTAATCATCTATCATAAAGCAGTTTCTCACATAGATATCACTACAAGATTGTGACCATCTCTTTTCTGAATAATCTGTAACTTCAGAAAACTAATTCGGCATGTTCAGGAAAAATGCAATTAATCATACTGTTCTGCTAATGCTTTCATAGATCAGAATTATTTTAGACAGTTTCCAGGAAATAATCAAGTGCAAAAGAATAGATGTTAATAAAAATCTCAAACTGGTAATTCAGTTGAGGTTAAAAAGTAGTAAGAGTCTATAAATCTCAGTATCTGGACCTTTTCATTTTACCTCCTGCAGAAGTTCAGCCTCACAGGTGGTAAGCTTTCAAAACCAACAAGCTTCACACATCTACATGTAAAGACAACTTCGGTGTTGCCTGTAGGTATGTATTTTGTTCTGTTCCACACTTAAGCTTCAGAATCTACCCCAGAGGATAAGATCTTTCAAATTAGCACAGAAACATTTCAAAGTTTGTATGTTTTTGTTTTATTTTGTTTTGCTTGTTTTTTGAACTCAGGAATCCCCACACAATGCAAGACAGTAAAATATATAGTAAATACATAAGCACGCAGTTGGGGAAATCATAGTTCTGTTGTGAAAGTAATTAGCATCTTGATTTAAAACAAAATGCTTTTGTTTTAACAAAGTGCCATTGTCATTTGAGTTGCTGAAGTTGGATTAAGCCTGCTCTTAATGTAGTCAATAGGACTCAGCAGGAATATCTATCTAACCCCAAAATCTGCCTGTTCCCAACCCAGGTCAGGATAGACCTCTAAAGCCCAATTTTTAAACCTTGGCACCCTTAATACTAGAGAGTTTAAAAAAAAAAAAAAAAGCTGACGAGCTATTTATCTATCACATCTTCCAGGTGTGTTGGCAGCTGTAAAATACCTTGCTACTAATCATAACAGTTCAGTATTAAGAGATACATACTGACGCAAAATGCCTTCTACTGCTGGAAGAATCTTTTAATCTGTGAAATTCCAGTACTTCCTTTTCTGGAAGAGAATTGATAACCCCACTGCACTCACATTTATGTTAAGAAAATAGTCTTCTTAAGCAACAAGGCTACCTGTAAAACATTTGGTTTTTAGAAATTACAGACTTTAGCCCTCACTTAAATAAACCATCAAAGAACTGCACACTTAGACTTTGTCTGAAAAATCCAAGTGGCTGGTAAATATATGGCTCAACTGATGCTATTAGTTGTATTTCATGCATAGTAGCACGCAAGTACTCCATGAAAACTGACCAAGGAAGCTTCTTCACCTTGAGTACAGCTGGTTGAAATTGAGTCATCTGATCTGTTCAAGATGGTCACGTAAATTTATCATTAAGATGCAGTTTTAAAGAAGAAAAAAAATAAACCAACAAAAATGCCACTTTAACACCATGAGATATACCTTAATACTTCCTAATCAAGGAAGAGTGACAAGCTTGGGGAAAAAAAAATTAAACTTATACACAACTAACTCAGCATAAAGCAAATTATGTTATTTGATACAAAACCTTTTAAAAAGTCCTGCATTTTTTTTTACCTGTATTTTAGGGTTTTTACGGGAAAATTCAAGACATTTCCTTCTCCATATTGAAGGTGTACGCTTTCATTGTCCCCTGTCTGAAGCATTCTCTCTGCTTCCTGTAAATTTCAAGTAAACATTTGATAAAATTAGTCATGTAGCAGAGATAAAACAATTCTCACACTGACAATGTATTTCAATAGGGGTATGGGGGTTCCCTGTAGGTACTGTAATTCAAGCAAGACATCTAGTTATGACCTCCTTTGCTATTACAAACATGTAAACTGGGGAAGAGGGTGTTACTTTTTAAGTTTAAGGAATTCAACTTGTTGGTGTACAGTTAGTGGAGACTTTTATGGAGAAATTATGCAAGTGCATTATTACCAACTAGCAGTTGTTTTTAACTACCACTCTGCACACAAACACAAGCAGAATGTCCCTTATATGGTAAACAGCTTTGTCTCTACTTTAAGCAGAGTAGATCCCTACTCCACTGTGTTTCTCTCTCATCCATTACCCACCTTCACACCTGATGAAAAACAAAGGCAACAACATTTTGTGCCAAGAACCCGTTCTTTCTAAACCGTTTGCTAATTTTCATCACAGGGAGTCATAACTCATAATAGCATCCTCAAAATAGTAACTTTCCTTAATTGCCAGTAATTGTTCTCTATCATTAAATCTCATTAGTGGAAAACTTCAAAACGTGCGTTTGGTTATAAAGTCATATGCTCATGGCACTTAAAATCCTTTGTGTCATTAAGCATTTTCTAATGATTTATAACATGCTCAGTTTGAGTGGTTTTACACTTACTGCCTTCTCTTTTTTCTTTTTGTCGTCTTCTTTCTTCTTTTTACTTTCTGGCATAAGATCATCAAGCCAGCTAAGCTCTCTTTTGGTGAAACATAAATCCATGAGCTTGCGAATGAACACTAATGCTAGAACCTTAAGGGAATCATAAACAGAATAATTTATATTAAACTACCAAAATTAAGAAAAATGCACATGCACTTCTAGTATATTCAGTATTTTTAACTGCAGCCTTTTTTTTTTTTTTTATAATACTAGTTTTTACCTTACTGAAAAGCTGGATCATTTCCCCTTCCCTCTTAAGGTAGTAACACATTCTGGGGAGATACTGGATGATGATGCACACGCTCTTGGCAAATGATTAACTTGTAGAACGGATAACTTACCATCATAGGGAAAACAACAGCAGCTGCAGAGGCTTTAATCACCCACAACAGAACAAGACAAGTGAGCTGAATAACTGTAAAGATATGGACCTTCCAGAGTGGTACATAACGTAGATATATCAGGTCAGGTTGATGTTTGGCAGGCATTCCAAACAGTTTTATACGGTCAAAAAACTGCATTGAAAAACAAAAACATCCTTCAGTTAATGATTTTCTTCCTCTCCAAAACAAACAAACACTCCAGAAAGATAAATTTATCCCAACTAAAATACTAACAAAGGACACTGAAAATTCAAGGAGGTGTGGTTGGGGGCTGTTTTGTTTTCCTCTTAACCATTAGTACTAGAACATTTTAAGAGTATTTCAGAAAATTTGTTGTTCAGCTACACTACTAAAATAATAAACGCAGAACAAATGAGAAGTGAAGACAGTGGCCACTCAACATGACAGGAAATTATCTTACATCCTTAGGATATTATCCTACATCCTACTCTGAAAATAAATATTGGCTTACGTTATTGATGCTTCTTTTCTTGTAGTGGTAAAAACAAATTGTTCCTTAAAATCGGATTTTACCTGAATGCCTTTTAATGAAGAAACTCCCATGTAGAGAAAGACACCATACAAAACTGGCATTGGAATAAACTGCAGAAGAAAAAGCACCAGTTACTTGGAGAATCAACACGACATACCATTGCAGTCCATATTAGTGAAATACATTATCTGTTTTTACATCGTATTTTTACCTACGTGAAAAAATTGTACAGACTGAAGCTCTATTTATAGAGAAAATAAACACAGCAGTCAACAGCAAAAAAAAAAAAAAAAAAAAAGAAAGCTGGGAGGTGGTGAAGGTCCTGTGTTCTTCCCATAGATCTACTATTAAAGTGTGTCATCATGATTTAAAAAAAAAAACTAGTAAGAATGGACAGTCTAGACTGAACATTTTCTAGGTTGCTACCAATATTTCTATTAACGCTAAGGATGTTGGTTTAGGTTCCTACTTGATAGGAAGTGCATTGAGACTACCACCTTCATGAAACTGCCATATGAAGCTTGCCGTATTTTCTTTTCCCCCCTCACTAAGCTGGTGTTTCGGGATCTGCTAAAGCAAAAAAGAAACCATATCCAGTGATCTATAAAAATCTATTCATTTTTCAAGGCTAAATATTTCTCCAGTAGTAAGATTTAAACTGATCTTCCTAAGATAATGAAGTTGTTCACTAATTTTAGTGGCAGTTCCATCAAGCCTCTGCAGCCTACCGAAAGCAGACGAGGCTTGCTTTGCCCCCAAATTCATGAAAGATCTGAATAAAGGACAGTCAGGATGTAATTGGAAGCCTTAATAAAAACTGCTGCTATCAAGACTGAACAAAAGCCTTTATCGAAACTTAAAATAGTGTGCAATAAAACTATGCCTTAGGGATTTATTACTGTGTGTGTATATATAGAAGATGGTATCTTCATCATGAGCTACGTAATTTGATGTGCTAGTACTTCTTCAGCATTAACTTCTGCATTAAATCAGCATATATCAGCACATGGAACAAAAACACAGCAGCTTAAAAATTCAAGCCTTTCTCTTATTTCTTGATTTTGAACAATAACAGCTGTTTACAATGAAAAAGAAAAGTATTTCAGAGTGACTTGTAGTAATCCCATTCCTATTACACTGGATCCCACAGCAAATTAAAGTATTAGTTTCCAAGAATCAGTTGTTAAAAAGTGCAATAAATATCAGGCTTCAACAATCAGCACCTTTACTTAGTGCTTTTGAGCAACAATAAATCTATTTTAATATTTCTGCTTTTGATTCTGGCAGTTTCCATTATACAGCTCAGCTCTTGGTAGCTTTTCTACCAGGGATTGTCTTATCTGAGTATATATATTTTAAATACTGCTTTATTTTATTCAGACCTCTATGGTCTTTAACAAGCATAAACGATCGGTTATTAAAAATTTATGATATGTAGTCCTAATAATAAACTATAGCTATGTGTTCATAGATCTATTTCCTCCCATTACCCCATCTTAAACAGCCATTAGAAGCTACCTTTTTGTGAAATGAGTTGTGATCTATCTTCTACAAAATTCTTCACAGGTATTGGTAATTATGCAATTCTATGCCACAACTGATATTTTGACAAATGATTTTCTCTCCTAACTACTGAAGTCAGCACAACAAAACAGAAGTGAAACTTATTTTACTCTTATCTGAGCAAAAAGCTTACTGAACTGATAAAAATTCAGAGGCAAAGTGTCAGCTGAGGCCACAATCTGACCTGCAGAATCTCTTATTACACCATGATGCTGTGTAAGGTCATCTCAACACTTTAAACCTCAAAGGCAGTTTAAAAAGCTGGAAAATAAAGAAAAGTGAGCAATGTCATTTCTGATGATCACTTCTAGTACTGTGTGTTTCTGCTTCTTTGGCCATATTACATTACTTCTGTTCTAGTGACTTTATCACTCTCTCAATTTTTAAAAAAGATTGCTAGCAGGAAAATTTGGTAACATGGACAAAGATTCTTCTCTGCTCACTACACTTCTAGCTTGTTCAGTTTTCTTGCGTCTTCCTCCGTTGTTTCTATTCATCTAACTCGATAACAAGTCTAGATATGTTTTACTTAACATAATAAAACTTGGTAACGTCACAAAAAAATAAATCACAAAAGGAAAGTACAAAGAACAAAAAAAAATATGAGAATAAACTCTTTTACCTTTAACACAGAGGTCATGAACACTGAAAGACCCATGAGGACAAAAATCATCAATCCTGTCACTCGCTGCTCCCGGATTCCCAAAAACTTTGGTTGCTCTCCCGGTGCAGAGCACTCAGATTCAACTTTCAGGCTGTTAACATGACTTATGGACAGGACAGTTGCTGCGACAAACCATGGTAAACCCATGATAGAACATACACCCAACATAACACCAACCATGAACAGATCAAGATGATAACCACAGCCTTTCTGTAAAATTAAGCAAAGAAATGAATCATTTGATAAAGTTTGTACTATATTACTATACAAGATTTATAAACATAGTTGGTAAATAACATATTACTAAAAAAGTTAAAGACGTTGGAAGGGCCCAAAAAATTAGAGTTGTTCTTTGCATTAGTCGATATGTATGTTTATATAGCAGCTGCTGGTAATGTTTCACAGACTTACAGAATTAACCTACATATAATTTAAAATAAACTCGACTTACAAAAAATTAAGAGTTTTGTGAAAATGGATATGCTTTTACCTTCAGTTTATGCTCTTTTCTGTTTATAATAACAGCTGTTATTTGTTGATCCATGAAAATGAGAATCGTACAGAGTAAGGCAGGAACCGCAGCTATCAGCAACGTCCACCAAGGATTGCCTCCAAGAGGATCTATGAACCATCCTCGGTCTTTTCTCGTGGGCTGATAAAATAAATAAGAATTAATTCACTAAAACTTCAGATTTCATTGCAACAAACATTAGCTGCAATGAACAGGTCAGTAGTCTTATTAAACGTGAGCTTAGATTTTTCTTCCCGTATCTCTGATAAAAATACTGACTAGCTGTTAAACATGAACAGCTTGAATGAAAACATGAGACTTGAATGAAAAAAATTAAAATAATCCATTGCATTCATTGACTTCTGCACATTTGCACAAAAGGATACATCCTTTTCAGTGATACTACAATGTAAAGCATAGTGGTTTATTTCACTAGAGACATACGCTCAGAAAAGAAGAGAGATTAACAACTACAATTTAAATAAAAAAAATAAAATCCTCTTTCAATTCAATTCCATTGTTCTATTGCCTATAAAACTTCAAGAATTAAAAAAGTTTATTTTAAAAGGTTTTGTTTCTTACTTCAAATTTCTCTGGAACATGAAGCTTAGGAGAAGGTACTCCTACAAGATAGTCAATCAAAACCATGATTACAATGGTCAGAAATACTGCAAAGTCACTGATGGTAGAACGCACCTATAAAGAAAAGATCTGTTAACTCTTGCTGTTTCATCATTACAATTGGCACATATAGAAAGAGAATTTTCTTCCCTATGAATACTGAAGTCTATTTATATTCTACTACACCAATAAATATTATGTTTATTTCCTTTTTTATATTTTAGCTGCCTGCCAGAATAGCATAAAGTTGGAAAAGCTCAGTATTCTCTACAACTGTTGATCTGATGATCTTATTTAACTACCACAAAGAAACAAACTGCTCCAAATTAACGCCTTTCTCATCTTTGTCCTCTCTGGCCTACTAAGAGGATGGGCCATCACAGCTAGTCTCTTGTAGCTTCATTCAGTAAAACCACTGAATTGTTCTCAAAGATGACTTTCTTAAGCATTAGGAACACTGTGTAGGTATGAGTTGAGGTTCAGAGAAAAATCTACCCCCTTTATTTTGACTAGTAGAAACAAGTCCAAGGATAAACAGTAAATTTTAATCATTATATTAACATCTGTTAGAAATAGTCATTCCCTCAGGAACCACTCAGAACTCTTCTGACATCATCAGCTTAGAGAAAGCAACCAGTTGTTCTGTATGACTAGATGAGAGGGAATTGTGTGAAAATAATCACTCCAGATGATACCTGACAATACCTACTAATGTGGAAAGACAAACACTTAGGTGTTCTAATGTTCAGAGTAAAAGAAATTCAGTTCTGAAAATTCTACTCTTCTTTCTTGTAACAAAATTCTAAAATGTTTTAATTTTCTGAATTATTAGCTAATTTTATTTTTAATCGCTTTTCTGTCTTAAAAATGTGGTTAAAGCTGTTCTCTCAGAACAAAGTTCTGAAGAAAAAAACAAAAAACAAAAAACCAAAAAACCTCTGCTAAGTTATACTGATCTACTTAGTACAAAACAACAGTCATGTCTAGTTACCTTAGTTGGGAAATAGCGTTTGGTCTTGAATTGCTTAAGGAAAGAGGAGAGGAAAAACGTTGTAAAGAATAATATGACAGACCAAAAGAGAACATCTGGAATATATGGTCCATGATGGCCACAAGCTGATCCACGAAACACACCATGAAATTCTAAACATTCCTGCAAAGACAGAAAATCCTTAAATTTCTAGTCATGTACAGTATTCAACTTATTTTTTTTTTAACCCTACCAATAAAAAACACACACAAAAATGTCCACAATATCCAAAAGGAGGTTCCTTCTTTCCTCCATCAGCACCTCATCCTGAAATGCCAGAAGTTTGTGTACTGTCAGTTGCGGAAGAGCCACTGTAACAATTACTCATTTCAGAATTCCAAAGATGCCCCAACATTCATCTTTTACGTTCACCTCACTTCTATTCTATTTTTCAAAGCACCACAAGACTGAATGAGTAAATGAGTTTAGTTGAGGACTAAATCCAGGAAAGCAGACTACTCAACATCAACTTTCAATTTAATGAACATAAACATGAGATCTCCCCAGTTTCTCCCACGTCTTTAGTCTCGAGTTTGTTTTGTCCTCATATGGTTAAGGAAAAAAAAAAAAAAAAAAACCAGGATTCTTTCAAAATGAGATTAACCAAATTGGTAGAAATAAACATTCTCTTAAAAGTAAAATATAATAAAATAAAAAACAGAAATGAGTGAAATAAATAAAAAAAATAACATCCTTAGATAACCCCTACCCAAAAGGCTCAGTGAAATGCCAAGTGAATAATTAAAAGCAGACACAAAGTACTAGGAATGAACAAGCCAATTAAGCAAATAGCTGGAAGGAGCAGTCTAGTCCTTACACAGGCTTTTTTTTTTTTTTTTTTGAAGTAACCTATTAAAAAAGTTTCCCCATTAACTACCAATTTTGATTGTAAGCACCACAAAATCTTGGATCAGTCCTACCCATGGGAAGAAAAAATGTTCAAGAAAAAAAGTATATAAAATAAACAAATAAATCTAAAGTATTTATAACAAATTACCTTCTGGGTAGAAGGCAAAAATTGCCTTCCTATGTAATTATGGCAGACTAGGAGCCATTGCTAGTATGTAGAAAATACTACAGCTAAAAAACTCTAGTACAACACTGAGGCTTTTAATAGTTTTTGCTGTACAGAACACATCCTGATTTCCCTATGAGCCTCTAGGCTCAGACACAAGAAGAGCCCAGACACAGGTATCTTAATTTTATATATTCTGAGAAGGCTTAAGGAGGCATACAACACTAGCAAATACAGTGCAAAATCTACAGCAGATCTAAATCATACAAAATATGGGCGTAGTCCAGGTGCTAGGGTGCAAGGGTAAACAGATGTGGCTGAAAATATCATGTTCAGAAAGTAATGCTTTAAGGCTTAGTCTTTCTAACAGCCCTCCCATCTTTTTTTAACCTTCAGTTTTCCAAACAATCAATTTTTAGGTATTTGCTCACTTCACCTCTGTTGTGAGTTTTATACCAATATCTAACATCAACTTAAGAAATGTGTCTGCTGGCATATTTTAACTTCAAGTTCCGTCTTCACATCTTATAAAAATATTTACCCATCCTTTGCAGAAAACTGAAAGTAAGTATATCCCCTGTTTATTCATCTCATCACATTCATCTGCACTTCAGAAAGAAGACTGCTCTGTCTACCAGTATTGAAGTGGCTACCTCAGGCAGCCATTTAAGACACTACAATTTAATATCATTTAATGTCACTTATCTAAAACAGTACAATGACTGCTTAAAAACATTATTGGAGGAATAAAAGTATTCAAAATACATTTTTTTTAAGAAATCAGTCCTTGCTCAAAGTGAGAAAGAAACCAGATGAAATATATTAACAAGACCAGTATTGTGTGGTTGTTTGTTGTTGTTTTTTATACATACAAATATATAACTTTTAGATACTCACAGATACTGTAAGGTTACTCCATACAATAGTTTCCACAGACTTATTCATTTTCCCCCAGACCCGCAAGGTTTCGTTGCTAGGGTTCTGAGGCTCAGAGCACACACATCTGAAGGGAAGAAAGAAAGAAAGAGTTAAAAAAAAAAGATAAGCTTTTAAGCACAAAAGTGACAAACACACTGATCTTAAGTAATTTCAAAAAATCCTGAGGAGCTTAAGCCAGAGTTTATCCCAACCTTCTACAAAACAAGCAAAGCACAGGGCTGACATGAAATGAATTACATTTTTTTCCCATGGAGGAGGTAAAGGAGATAAAACATGTTGCTAAGAAGTAAATGCACAGCAGTTTCTACAGATTGGACAAAATCTAGCCCATGTATTTTAAAGAGTTAGAAGCAGAAAAGACATTAACTTAAATATGTGACTGATCTGCCAGTTTTTAAGTATATTACCTGAAAATAAAATTAAATAGATGATATATGCAGATATCTATATATTGTGAATCAAAGAAGAAAAAAATCCAAACGACACCACCTTACAACATCACTAAACAAAAATATACTGTGTTATTCATAAAAATTTCCACATAAGGTTTTCTAGACACAAATAGGTTTCTGTGACTGTGTACAAATTGAGGTCTTCAGATTTCTATACAGCATACCATCCTACAGTGAGGCAAAATTCAGTTCCTACCACTGTACACCAACATAAGAGAGAACAGAGACTGGAACTACTACATTTGACTGTCGTCAAAGACTTGGTTTCAACATCCCCATTTCAGAACAGGCACGTCACTAGCCTCTAGAAGTTTCTGAACCATTTCTTTTCAAAACTGTTGGTACCCAGTCATTTATCTTCTATTTTGCATGCCTTCTGATCTACACATGACCAAAAGTGGTCACCCTAAATTTAGACACAATTTGAGTATGTAGTGGGCTAAATGAAGATGTAAAAACATAAATGTCTCATATTTAAAGCATTTGCATGTATCTGTTTTTATAACTTTATGTACAAGTAAAAGTGCTCCTGCCTACTGCAATGGTTCACAGATCTGTTGGCCTACCGAATTTTGTTGGACAGGTTGACAGCAGTACACATCAGTAAAAGAACACATTGAATATTGATTTTATGAGCTGTTTTCAAATAAAGTTACTGAAGTATACCAAAGTAAGTTTGATATGCAAGTATTTATGTAGAAGAAGAGAATCAGATAATTAGCTAGAAGTCTCAGGTGAAACTTTTTTTTTTGTTGTTTTTTTTTATGAAATTCATCGCAGTACTGAAAAAACAAACAAACAAATAAGAACTCTGGAAGGTAAAACCTGCATCCTAATAGCATGAAGGACTAGAAGGAAAATGCACAAGATGTGTATGGGCAAAACCAATGTAATTTGCAAAGCACGGTATTGAGGAAACTTAGGATGTAAATATACTGTCTTTTGGTGACTGAATTCTAAAGTAACCGCAAAAGAAAATAGAAAAAGATTGGAAAGAAGTAATTCATATAAAGTAGTCACAAACAGAGTAACTTGAGAAAGGAATTGCAACAGTATGATGAAAGGAAAATTAAGCAGCTTTAATCGTTAAAGGCAGTTAACATGAACAAGAACACTGAAGGAAGACCAACAAATTTCTCAACAAATACAATAAAAGAATGCCGCCAAGTAAATAAGTGGAAATCTGGAAAAAAGAAAAACACAGAATACGTAAGAGTATTCCAGACTGTCTTCTGGCTCACTTAGAAGATTACGCTCTGAGGGAACAGAAAAAAAAAAAAAAAAGAAAAAAAAGCACTTTTAAAAGGCCAGATTTCCTACATCTTTCCAATAGAAAATCAAACCCCCAAAAAACTGAAGCTTGTGAAATATCCAAAATGACAAGTGTGACTCCACATAAAGCTGAACCAAGGAGACGTCACTCCTTCCTTTCTGCACGCCAATGGGCATGTGCACATAGCACAGCACACAGTCATGGGCCAAGGGTCAGAAAATAACCTACAGGCCAACAGTTACCGACTGGCCTATTTAATGTGCTCCCCAAGGACCTAGTGAGCTGCATTGCCCACTGGCCTGCTCATGACAAAATGGCCTGGATAGATGGACAGCTGTTAAGACAAGAAAGGGAGTGAAAATATCATGTATGAATGGAATGCAAGCAGCAGTCTGAGAGGGTGCATGCCCAGAAGCAATCATGTCACAGAGGAGGATGCAGACCATCAGGTGGCTTAAACAGAGTAACTGAAAAATGACTTTTGGAAATAAATCAAACAAACAAATAAAATATCCTGGACATAAATGCTAATGAAGCATGAATATTTGTAAAGTGACAAGATCCTAGAGTGGAAACACAATAGCTGAAATCTCGTTTGACACCACCAGAAATCTCCCTTGTGTGGATTACTATGACCACTACTTTGGACAGGCAGAGCCACCCCGCTAGTGGGTTTGCCAGCCAGTTTGCCCTCAAGCTAGGGACTGATAGTGCAGGGTACAATGACTCTGTGGTGTAAATGCCTGAAGTAACTAGGAAAATAAAACTAACATTCACACTTTTAAGGAAAAGGTACAGCATTGAAGAGGCTTTCAGGGTAGGGCATAACTGCATTATCTGAGCATTCCCTAGGCTCCCAACCTTAGATGCTATCGCGCTGGGGAAACTTGGTGTGCTAGCTCTAAGGAACACCACGGAGCGTAGAGTGGAGTGGAGACACCACGGCTAGGCTCTGTAATCAGGTGGGGCCTCGATTGTTCTTGTGCACAAAGCTGCACTTTTTGCCACCCTAAGCCAAAGACCTGTCATGTTTTGACAAATGCTGTACCCTAGTGTACTTTTTGCTCATTATAATATCATTATAATACCAAAACACACCTCCATCCCAAAAGCTACCCGCCTCCAAGGTGCGACCACCCCTCACTGAGCATGCGCTCTGAATTTCTCGGAGCCTATTACTTTAAACGGAAACGGGAAAACTTTACACCAATCATAACTAAGATATGCTTGACTAGAGCCACTCAAGCTCCACCTAAAAGATAGAAAATAATATAAATTGGCCCAAGAGAGAGGGGATGTTAGGGAAGATACCATCGTCAGGGGAGATACCATCCCAAGGACATACAACATCCTTAGGACCTCCTGACTCCTGGGATCAGTCGACGGGCTGAGCCTCTCTTCCCCCCCCATTGGGACGCCTTTGGGTGAGATCTGAATAAATCTCTATAGAGTCTTTGATCCTTTTAACACGTTTATTTCTAGGCTGCGCACCTATAACACCTGTAACACCTAGAACACCTGTAACACCTAGAACACCTAGAACACCTAGAACACCTAGAACACCTAGAACACCTAGAACACCTAGAACACCTAGAACACCTAGAACACCTAGAACACCTAGAACACCTAGAACACCTAGAACACCTAGAACACCTAGAACACCTAGAACACCTAGAACCCACACCTAGAACCCACCTAGAACACCTAGAACCCACACCTAGAACCCACCTAGAACACCTAGAACCCACACCTAGAACCCACCTAGAACACCTAGAACCCACACCTAGAACCCACCTAGAACACCTAGAACCCACACCTAGAACCCACACCTAGAACCCACACCTAGAACCCACACCTAGAACCCACACCTAGAACCCACACCTAGCACCCACACCTAGCACCCACACCTAGCACCCACACCTAGCACCCACACCTAGAACCCACACCTAGAACCCACACCTAGAATCCACACAACACCTAGAACCCACACCTAGAACCCACACCTAGAACCCACCTAGAACACCTAGAACCCACACCTAGAACCCACACCTAGAACCCACACCTAGAACCCACACCTAGAACCCACACCTAGAACCCACACCTAGAATCCACACAACACCTAGAACCCACACCTAGAACCCACACCTAGAACACCTAGAACCCACACCTAGAACCCACCTAGAACACCTAGAACCCACACCTAGAACCCACACCTAGAACCCACACCTAGAACCCACACCTAGAACCCACACCTAGAACCCACACCTAGAACCCACACCTAGAACCCACACCTAGAACCCACACCTAGAACCCACACCTAGAACACCTGTAACACCTGTGTATTTCATGCATACTAGCTTGCTTTTGCAGATAGTCACTATCACCGGCAATCCAAAAGAACCTGATTATCTGTTGCTGTAATAAACCATACTTGATTGCATTGTGATAGCTCTCATTAATGCAACTAGGGTGAGGGTGGTTATCCGTGATAGTTCAGTGTTCTGAATCTAACCAGACCCCCAGACGGTTAATGCATTGTTGGTGAATGTCTGAACGGACCCCCAGGTGGTTAATACGTTTTTGGTGAATGTCTGAGCGGACCCCCAGGTGGTTATTACGTTTTTGGTGAATGTCCGAACGGACCCCCAGTTTTGGTGAATGTCCGACTGGTTCAGTACTCTGAATCCAACCGGGCCTGTAACGGTTAATCAGCTACACCCCTTTAACGCGACAGACTCCCATCTAGCTCAGTCAGCTCTGACCAGAATGTGACTTAGCAGACTGTAGAGAGCCACACAGGTACAAATTAAAACTGAGGCACCCACACGTCCAACAAGAGGGAAGCACCAGCAGCAGAACCTGTGTTCCTCGAAGCACGTGTGACCATAACCCAAATGTCTGGGGTTGGAGGGTAAATACTGGTGTGGGCATGATTAAAGTCTTTTGGGGATTAGTAATAGAAGATGACTTAGAAATGTGTCAGTTCTTACTAGTATTTCTGAAGTGTCCAGCATTGCAGTTTATCCACTGTCTTGCTCATGCTGAATGTATGGATCACCGATTGTCATTTAATTGTGTGTTGGTGATGAATCAAGTTAAAGCTTTGATTCTGATTTGGTTTGAACTAACAACTGAGCAGATTTTTCCACTAACAGCAGGATTTCCTCCTCCTAGCAGGTGTGAGCTGTTAAGTCAATTTATCACATTTCATGAAACAGTACCCTAAGCTTGAAAACTGCACACTGAGGAGCAAAAGACAAAGCAGCAGATCATAGAAAATTATATATATACACACATACACATAAAAATAAATAAAACATCAAGACACATGGTATGACAACTACTCAGTGCTGATTTCACAGTATAAGTGAACTACTTTAATTCAGAAACAGTACAGGTTCACACTAAAAAATAGGTAAGGTGCACAATTCCCATAAATCAAATGTAAAAAGATAGACCTAAATAGCTTATTATATTCCTTAAATGAAATGAAGTTAATTTAGTATTAACAGTTTTACTGTTTATTATTATGATGAAAAAAGATAGTAGCTTTACTAAGGCAGGAAATAAAAAAGCAGCTTCATTTTTTTCTATTATTTTCCTCTCTCTTACGAAAAAAATCTAAATAGTCAAGTATCCCCATAATTGTAGTAGAAAGAAACAGTACTTAAGGATGCTAACTCTGCTCCTATCACAGACAAGCTGAAGAAGCTCTCCATGCCTCAGCTGCCTGGAAATAATCCTCACCAATAATTAGGTGGGGACAACCATCATGATTTCTTGAAGTGGCGAGGCAGAACTCCCATCCAGCTAATGGAACATACTGACTTTTAATCAGGCTGCAGATAAAACAGGCATTGTCACAGCCCCTTATCCCATCCAACCACCCATAGATAACACAGAAAATTCAGTTCCATGGCATCCTGAATAGAATCTTTCTGAAGTTTCTCATGCTCCTACCACCCCCAGCATTCCTCCTACCCTACCACCAAGAGGCAACCGCCACAGTTGGTAAATGGTATGCCAATATAACATTTTCTCTATGTATTTTACTAACAAATAGAAACTCAGTACTTACGAATATAAAGTCAGTTTATCCAAATTATTGTGCATATTGAAGGCATATATTTCTCCCAAATGAAAAAGCTTTTCCAATGCCTCATAAATAAATATGATGCATATAAGCGCTGCAAAAGCTTCCTCTGTAAATCGAGTGATGTAACAGACAAGGCTGCTGGCATCTGTTGCTACAAGCACTATGCATAAAAATGCAGTCCACAGACCAATGCTAGTTCGTAGGGAGAGGTAGGAAAGCTCATAATCCCTGTGTAAAAAAAAAAAAGTCTTAGTTGAGCCTAAAATAACCTATACCATACTATATTTGAAAACGTATACTGAGGCCAAATTCTAGGTATTCACAATGTTTCTCATCCTTGATGTCAGTTTTGAATAAAGCACAAACTTTTCTGTTTCATCTTCCACCAGAGCTGAACAACGCTGCAAGGTGTTTCTAGGATTGAGGGCACACCCACCTGCCTCAAGGAAGCACGATGGGAATGCTCTCTCCAGAAGTACCTGGATGGTTTTTCCTGGAGAGCATCCCTGTTTACCTTTGCAGAATCAAAGCCAATATCTCCGCACAGTTAGAATATACTATTAAAGTCCCATCCACTTCATCACTGATTTTCTCCTCAAAGCTTTGCCAAATCACATGCACAACTCCATCTCCTGCTGCTGTCTTTACATCTTCGTGATCATCCATTTTGAACACATCTGCTTTCAGTTACAGCTATTCTAACAGGCTGGTAAGTGAGAAAGTTCATCAAGCTAATAAAAATATCACTACTTACCTGCAAAATTTAAATAATATTTTTTCAAATACTAGAACTGGTCCGGTGCTCCCCAAAATAGTAAGAGGTTGCCCAGCAAAGAGAGAATAGGCAATCCCAGTTAACGAGGCTCCAAAGAGAGATTCTATTGCACTCTGTTCGGGGGGAAAAGAATCTGCTTTTACTATGCTGCCTTTCAGGTTAGTATTTAGTGCCACATCTGCATAAACACAATTTTAAGATGCATTAATGTACAAACAAGACAAGATGTAAAAACACTACAATTAATATTAGTGTTTCAGACACAAGAATAATTTAACATTGTTTTGCAGTAACAATACCATGGACAAAAGATTTGGAAAGCTTCACTCCTGAGAAACATAAAGCCATCCAAAACCATGAGAACAAGTTACTAGTCCTGCTAGCTATGGAGGAAAAATATGCCAACAATTACTACAAAGAGAAAATAAAATTATGTAGTGTATGGAAAGAATTATCTGTCTCTGTAAAAAAAAAAAAAAATTGCAACATACCTGTACCAAAACATGACACAGTGTGCTGCATCAAACCTGCATCAGTCAACCAAGCATCACAAAAAAATAAAAACTGACAGGAGGTGGTGCAGGGGATAATACTGAACAATATTGGTTTATGTATATGTGACACCATAAATAGATGAACTGTAAACCAATGTCCCACCTGGTAATGCATTTCTTTTTGAGAACTGAAATAAGTATTTTTCTTCAATGAATTGCATGTTTTAAGATAACATTTTCTGCTAAGAAGAAACATTACAATGCACCTCAAGAGACGTGCAGGGCTTTCTAGATCCTAAAATAGTATTCAAGTTACTTTAAAATAGATAACTACACCACTTATAACTATGAAAAGTCAAGAATTAGCAGATTAAAGGGTTTGTCAGGAAATTTACAGGTGTTTGCTATTTTGCAATTCTGTAAGATTAAGAAAAGAAGAAGTATGCAAACTTAAGCCCCAATTCAGGAAAGCATCTAAAATAGGTCCAAAGGGTTTGCTGAACTGGAGCTATTAAACATAAAAAACACAAGTCCTTGGTTAATTATGTTAGAAAAAATATATAAACCCCGTCTCTTGTTTAGCTATTACCTTTTAACTACTGGTTTAGTGAATGCATTAACCTTGGGGCTGTCAGTCAAGGTGGCAGGGACAGGAATACTGTGGAGGTGATGACCTCTGGGAATGTGAGGAAAGGTTTCAAACACAAACTGTGTACCTTACAATGTCAGCTACTGTGCTTGAACATGTGTGTTCAGTAACTAAATTTTATATTCAATGATGCACACCAAGTATCTGAAGGCAGGAACAAACCCACAAACAATTCCAGACAGCTAAAAGAAAGAAGGTATTTAAGAATCAAGCTTTAAGAGGAGCAGATTTTCATAGTTATAAAAGGTACATTCATAAATTACATCAACATTTTGATAACCAGAAGGAAACCCATTCTTACATTAAGAGTGGCAAGAACAGTGCACAGAAAAGATAACTTATTTCTGTATTTGCTATCAGCTTGAAGAGCTACATCAATAAACAAATATCCAAGTCAACAGCATTACGTGGAAGAGAGATAAGTTCACTAAACAGTAACACAGTACAAGCTTAAAAACTTGATTTAAGAAGTATCGTGAAGAACTTTATAGCATAAGCTTTACCAGATTTTTAAACTTTGTAAAGGATATTCCTAAATTTATCTTTTCCCCTTCCCCAAAAGGAGAGAAGCCTTGTTTCTTTGTAAAAGATTTAAAACCAGAAAATACACTTCAAACTAGTTTACTCGCAAACGATTTGACACAGAGTTATTAACATTGCTGACAAAAGTATTATTTCCCTGTCCAAAAACTAAAGTGCAACCAAACATTTGTTTTAATAAAGTTTTGGTGTTGCATACTGCCAAATATAACACTACAATATATTTATGGTTAATATTCAAGTCATTTTCAGTGAAGAGTATTTTCTGCTCATAAACCCTTTTTTTAATTTATTTTTTTTGGCAATTGATAACAACATACCATTAGCAAAAGCAAACACGTATATCCTGTCCATTACATAAATACAGAATTGACTGCTACCCATAACACTGTAGGCATTATCATCCTCATAGGCCTACTACTCAAGGCCAGTACATATTCTTGGCTGTCCACCTTGAGCCTCTAATTTTGCCTAAAGTAGGCCTAGTGGGATGGTGCACCTTTACTGCTTTTCATTATTTTCAAGTAGCCAAAAAGAAGGCAATGCCTTTTCTCAATTCATGAAGCTATTCATCCAATATGGCAGGATAAACATTTAAAATTTATTTTATTTAATTTTTACCTCCACTGTGCATCTTCTCCTGTTCACATGGATTCCCCACATTTTCCACAGCAATTACCTTTTGGGGAAGATCTGCTTTGGGGCAGGCTAATCAAGTGCTGTGGGTAAACTCTTCAAATACAAGTGTAAAGAAACGAGACAAATGCACACAGTGACTTGCCTCTGAAGGTCTAAAAGCCTGGCCACTACCATTTTTTGTACTCACTATTCTGCCTTGTGTAGCTTCTCCCAGGAGCCCTCCAAAAGTGATTACAGGAGACATACAGGCACAGTATAGGAAAAGAATCGAGGCCAGGCACTGCAGGCTTAATGCATCCTTGAAGTCACTCAAGAAAAAAGGTGCTTTCCTTTTGATGTCAAGTATCAAACCACCAAAAAGCCTAAATAGGTGAGATGAAACTCGTCAAACTGTACACTAAAGGATTCTAGCTAGTTCAAAACTATGGGCTACACAAGACTGCCAGTGCCTATTGCCAGCACAAAATTAGCTATTTTATAATCCAGATTAAAGCATAACACAGTTTAAAATATAAGTGAGAATCTTATCTATTCCAATTCATTATTTTTCCAAAGTATCATCAATCAGGCCACCCACATTTTTAAAAGCTGGCTAGGAATTTTTGCATATAACGGGCTAGATACTGAAAAATATCTTTACAAATATCTATAGCTTAATTATGTTTAAAGTTAAATCCGTCTTATGAGATTCAGAACAAGGAACAAGAGACATATGCTAAACTTCAACCAAAATCATTGCATTTCAATATCACTACTCCAGTAAGCAGTTATAGCTTTGTTTTTGATCCGAATTCTCTACATTGATGAACGAACCTATATTTACTTAACAGCATAACATTTGGAGTATGGAGATATTTTCTAAATGGAAATACAAAAACAAATGTATATAAATCGGTTCAAGTGGGTAAGTTACCAAGAAATTAAAAAGCTTTTTGTAGCTTCTCAAAATTTTCAAAATTAAATACTAAGTAAAATTTGTAACTAGGAAAAAATTGGTTTATTCTGAATTATACATAAAAGCCTTAACAAAATTTTCCATTCCTGTGGAAAAAAAAAGTTTTAGCTATTTAAAGATAATTCTGTGGGTAGAAATGAGCTTTTGTTCCTTATACCATCTGCAAAAAGGCAAGATAAGAGTATGATGAAGCTAAAATTGTAAAAATTAAAACAACGCTTATAATTCCTTCTTGCAAAGGTATGAGAAAAATGTAAATCACTTAGAAGTTTATCATTTTGGGGATAACTTTATACATCTTCTCCAGAATTTCTCAGTTGATATAATTTCCGGTATGCAATATTAACATATAGTCCTATTCAGTTGCATTTCCACTGTTAGAGAGGTGGGGTTTTTTTGGCAATTATTTCAGAACAGAACAGTAATGCAACTCAACCGAAAAGTTCCTTTGATTTTTATTTCAGATCTAAAAGAAACATAACCAAAACAGTATTCTTTGCCACTTTATATTCTTTGTTATTCCACTTCATACATGTTTAATAAAACAGATTTGCATTAACGGAAATTTTTAGTACCTAGCCCAATACTGAAAATTGTATATTCCTGGTATAATTATGGTAATTGCATGCTTTTGATAATTAAAAATTAAAACTCAACACTTAAAAGTCAGTTAGTTAAATCAAGCAGCATCTTATAAGAAATCCTTCACAAACGTGTTGAGAAACACTGCCACAGGCTTGAAAATGCTTTAAGCACACTGCCATTTATAGGCAAGAACCCAACACTTGAAAAGGAAAACAGATGCGTTCTGACACATACAATGGTGTTGTTTGTTTGTTTATGTTTAAATGCCATCATTAAATCTATGGAGATTTATCACTTTTATTTCTTTATGGTAGCTAGTATTTAGGGAAGTGAACACACCTTCCAGTTCTCTCAAGTTCGGGTCCAGCATGATGGCCTTCTTCTTTAAGAGTCTCTCCTGTAGGAGTAGATCCATTGGGAAACTTAGGTATCTTTCTTTTCTCCTAAAGAAGGAAAAAAAAAAAAAAAAAGCCACACAAGACAAACACATACTTCAAATTATACTTTTTAGTGCAACCGCGAAGAGTGTACAGAGACTTGCCTTCCAGGCCTTTTTAGAATCCCAGCTTATCAGCAGCTCTCCATGTGCCAAATTCCTCTTTTATTGAATACAGATGACCAAAATTGTGCAACACTCCCAAAAAGATCTTATTAGTGTCTTGCACAACAGTACTAATCTTCCCTTTCTAAAAGAATTATCTCCCCTGAGACATGATGAAACAAAGTCTGCCTTTTCAAGACATAGTATAGGCTCAGCCACGTGGCTTAGACATCTTCTTAAGATTTTTTTCTCAGTCATTTCCAGAGCAGAAGCCTCCAGCTTGCAACAGAAACTGACCTCACTCTATAACAAAGTACAGTATTAAGTACAAATGTTATTGTAACTTGAAAAGTTATTCATCAAGCTCACCATCTCATCACAAATTTCTCAGTCAATCTTGCATTCCAGAAAAAAAAAAAGAAAAAAAAAGAAAAAGGAAAAAACACTTAGCCTTGCTTATTCTGGCAACAAATTAATTGCTAGCCTCACACTACTCATGAGATAAGCTATACTGCTGTCCCCCCTTCCATTCCAACCACTTCCCTAAATAATCACATAATTCAACACCAGCTCAGCCTTGTGAACGAAGAACACCGGTCTTCCTCCCCATTTTTGATCCCTGTGGCAGTAATTTCCCTCAGTAATAAAGAGGCAAAAAGGAAAGAAGTCAGAGGCCACTAAGGTCTCACCCTGACTCTCAGTTCTAAGCCTTGTAGCACAACCAGACACTTTTATCTATTTCATAAATATTCTGTAAACATTAATTACTAGCCAATACACATTAAAACTTATTTTCAATCAATGTCGCATGCAAACAAAGGTGTGTTTTTTGGTAAGAATTACAATACTCTTGCTGTTCATTGTTAGATTAAATTTGTTAATATGAACCCAAGTACAATTTTGGATCAACTCTCCATCTCAGACAGCTTCATTTCAGTATTACAAAAAGAATTACAATAAATACATGTGGTGGTTTTATGACAGTCAACTAAACTCCACTACACTGCTCAAAGAAGAGGAGAAAATGTAATGAAAAAAAAGCTCATGGGTTGAGATAAGGATAATTAAAGAGGAAAGAGAAAAAAAAAATAAGCAAAGACCATAGAAAGAAAATAAGTTACTCTCAACTTCCCACCAGCAAGCAATGTTCAGCCACATTTTGGGAAGCAGGGCCTCAGTACACATAGAAGTTCTCTGGGAGGACAGATGCTTTCATAACACGAGTCCTTCCTTCTCCTTCCCCAGCTTTTATTGCTGAGTGTGACATATGGTATGGAATATCCCTTTGGTCAGTTTAGGTCAGCTGCCCTGGTGATGTCCCCTCTTCACCTCTTGCTCAACTCCATCCCACTGGCCCAGGGGTGGAGAGTCTTGACGCTGTGCCAGCACTGCTCAGCAATAAACAAAACTGGTGATATATAGGTGCTGTTCTAGCTACAAGTGCAGAGCACACAGAACTGTATGTGCTGCTGTGGGGAAGGTTAACTCCATGCTGGTCAGACCCAGTACTATAAAATTTACTTAAAAAAAAAAAAAAAATAGAAAAAAAAAAGTGTCAGATCAGTTTTCTGCTTAGATGAATGATCTACTTTTTCTTCCAAATGGTTTTGTGCATCTTCTTGATGCTTAACTGAAGTTAACACTCAATGCACAATTAACTTGCACTTGGAAATGCATGGGAGCTCTTTATTGGAGTTTTGGTGGTGTTTTTGCCTTTTTTTTTTTTTTTTTTTTTACCTGGGAAGGAACACTTTTTGGTGGCTCAATTCGTATAGATGGATCCCATTCTCCTGGAGGTAGGACTGTCACTTGGTCTAAAAATTCATCAATTCCTGATAATAAATCATTTCGGTCTTTTGCTTTATAGGCAACATCATGGAAAACCTACAACGAGAAAGCACACAGCATTTTTATTTTTAAAGTTTTTATTTTTTTAAACTGACAAACTGATTAAAAGAAGCACCTGATTATTTTTTTTTATTTTTTTTTTAAAAGGCATGGGAAATTTTTAAAAGGTTCTCCATAGTTAGGCTTCTTCATTACTTGCATATTTTTGCATTAAGAATTACCTGTATGCACACCCCTAAAAACCATAGAATAAGGATACTTTATCTTCAAACTCTCAATGAATTTATTTCTAAAATTGATTAAGATGGTAATCTTAATTCAGTAAATCAGATTAACGTACTATTGCTTGAGCAATTCTTTCCTATGGTCACTATGTTGCTGTACTGTGCTAAATGAGGATGAAAAAGCACTTTTGAACAAGCTTTAAACCAAAACACGACTTTGTTTTTTTATTTTTAATTAAGAATAAAAATTTCATTTGTAGATCCTCTAGCTCAATACATCTGAAAAGGCACCAGAAAGGAAAACCCCTTTCTACTCAAGAAAAACCTAGCCCTATCACAAGCCACAACACCAAACTCTGAATTCTCTGAATTGGCAATTTCAAACAGGTAGCATTTAAACAAAACAATCTCTGAATTTTGAAAATGCTTTTTAAACAGGGAAAGGAAATGATAGCTTTGCTATTAAACTGACTGGAGAAGATGATTCTAAATTGTTTCCTGCATATTCTGAAGCATAAAATGTTTATCTCCAAATACCTGACCATTAAGTCTTCCAATTATAAATTAGATCTTTTATGACTATTTAGGTTTTCAAGTCTTTTAAGACCACTATTTTTTTTATTTTTTTATTTTTTAATTTTCTTCAGTGATTTACAGTATTCCAAAAATCGGTCCACCTAAAAAACTTGAAGCTCTAACTAAAATTTTGAACATTCAGTTCTTATGCTGTACAAATACCATATTGTAGATTAGTTGCCAACTGTAAAATGAACAGTCTGATTCAAATTTCCAAACACAGATTTCTTTTTCTAGAGTGAAGAATTATTAGTTACTTAGTAGAAATTCTAATATTTAGGAGCAATTCAGCAGGTGGCGCTCTATGCAAAGGCAGAATTAAAACATCCGAAGTTTAATCAGTAAGATGACGACAGTTTTAATGAGTTCTGATTCCCCTGTGCTCTTTAAAATTGTCCACCAGGGCTCTAAGCATATGACTACAAATTCCTAGTAAAATTCTAACTTTAATTATTCGATCTGGCTTTGATAAAAAAATACCTGTGATGACTCGTTTGAACACATTCTAAAATTTTCTGTCCTGAACACGTGCACAGTTTGTTGTCATTTTTGACAGCTATGCTGATCCATATTAGATGCAGTTCTATTTAATGATTTCATTTCCTAATTTAACATAAAAATAAAATATGTAAAGCAAAGCTCAAGTATCTCTTCTGAAATACACTTAACATTTCTAAGTGAAAGGCAAGGGGAAAAATTAATTTACAATTTTGTAAGTCACTAACACAAGGAATAAGTTTCTACTGTTCTACATTTAGCAGGTTTGGTTCCTTTTCTTTAACCCGTCATTCCAGAATACATTTATTGCAGTCAGTTAATATATTATTCTAGTCTTCTTTAACTACAGATGTGTAAAATACATCACTCACATCATCTGTCATCAGTGTTGCTATTGATCTTCCAATTTCATGGTACTGTGGAGCTTTGCCTGCTGGTCCCAGCAACAAAAACAAAAATCTGTGGAGAAAACAATAGAGATAATAGAGCTGGCTCTTTTTAATATACTCGGAGGCTTCTTTTTTTCGAACCAGTGTTTTAGAAAATTTGGTGGTGAAGTAAACATGTTTTCCTTCCCATTTCAGGTCTTACAGACTGCTGCAAAGCTCACCTCAAAGTCATTACTGGAACTGAAATCGAGAACCAAGATTACTCTGAAATCTTAATTAAGCCTAATTTTCCAACTTCCTGATGCTATAAATGGAGAAGAAATGCAGAGGCTACAGCCCGATGAATATTTCTTCTGAATTATATGCATCTTTCTGCCATTGTCACTGGCAAAGACCCTGTAGGGCCTAGGAGCATTATGACCTGCTCTAGCCCCTCTGATGATCACCTCTCCCATAGGAGTCAAACACCCCTCAATTTCTGTCACCAGGTACATCATATAACTGATACACAGATATACATCATACAACACATCAGGCACACTCATAGACACATCCTGGTCCTGTGTCAGTGGAAGGGAATGGATTCTATATTTTGGACATCTAAGAAGGTAAAAGTGACATTTTAGGAGGGGAATCTAATCTGAGGGTGGGTCACAGCACGTTTTACCAGATAGCCTCAATTTCCAATCACAATCATCATTAGCACTTTTTTTTTTTCTTTGAACTAGTACTTTGGTTTGTATCCTTTACAATTTATTAACAGCAAACTGCAGTAATTCTTTCTACAACCTTCTTACTACAGGCCATGTAAATGAATTTCCCAAGTACCACACATTTGAAAAAGTAGCACTTACTTTTGATTCACAAAATGAAAAGCTCAATTTTTATATATTTTTTTTGACTACGCTAACCAAAACTAAGATTGTATCTTCAGAATAAAGTGTGCTATTTCAAAATCTATCAGCCTGCAGGCATTCTGAAAATTTATGACAGGATAATTTTAGCTGAATTAATACAGTAACATTTGCAGAAATTTTGGAATTACGAACACTACTGTCAACTACCCTCTGAAAATTCTCACAACCACTTAAGACAACACCACCAAGATTATTTTTGCCTTTCCGTATAGCATTTATGTTGAAAACAATCAATAATAATCAAACATTTTACTCATTTTTTAACAAAAATATCAAACTCATATATTTACAAATGTTTTTCGAATACCACAGAACTGTTGAATGAATCTATGTGCATACAAAATAAGTTCTCTCCACTAGGACTGAGGCATGACCAAACAACCTGTAATCGTGTTAAGCACAAGTCTAGATTTCCTGAGCTTATGGAGTACATATAAAAATAGTAGACTATTTGAGAACTTCAGTATTATTAATTCCTTAAGTAATATTAATTTATAATGGAAGTAAAGCCAGACTTTCCAGGCATTTGTTTACCGTGTAGGAACAGGAACCTCTGTGAGACCTGAGAGAAGCACAGCAGGGGAGAGCCTCACAAAAGCAATAATAGGTCTTTCTAAAAAATCTACTTCTCCCACTAACACGTTTGATGCTTCTGCTCCTGAAGGAATTTTCCTCATGAAGTTCATGTCAACCTATTCATACAAAAATTAAACAAGTGTTTATTTCTTTACATTTGTTAGCATGAAATTTATAACATAATTTAGTTTATCAGTATTTACTAGACATTCAAGCTACAAAGAAAAATACAAAAGCAAATTAAAAATCCCACAATACAGAAAAGACAGACATTTATAAAGTGTCAGCCAGCCACTAACAGTGAACTATTTTCTAGAAGTTAGAATTACTGCTACCTACTATATTCTAAAAGACTCCAGACCGCATAATCACCTTACTAGGATTACTTATGACAAACATTCCGTGATAGGACATAATTTAACAAATTAAACACAATTAACTAAGGAGAGTTCATGTAATTACACATGGTTTCTAGAAAGCAATTGGTTATTCCACAGTTGCACAGAATCATAGAATGGCTTGAGTTGAAAGGGATCTTAGAGATCACCAGATTCCAACCCCCCTGCCATGGGCAGGGATGCCACCCACTACAGCAGGTTGCTCACCCAACCTGGTCTTGAATATCTCCAGAATCTTTCATCTTTCATATATGTTCAAAAGCCGTAATTTTGAAAGAGAATTTGTATGTTCATGTTTTCACCCATGAAGAATGTAAGAGCTGAAAATCTAAGCTTTCGTTTCTGTACATAGTTACAGAATTGTATTAGAAAATGGTATAGCACATGAACTCTTTGTCCACATCTATACAAACACGCACAAGCACCAGGTACACTGCTAACTAGAGAACTTACAGATGGCCTCTTGAGTCCCACACCAAGTGTGCCACAACTACAGTGCCAGGAGGCTGACTCCTGCCCAACAGGAGACAAGGCAGGTGTACAGAAGGACAGGCCAAGCAAAAACATAAAAACTGTGACAGAGGATCAGGAATAAATGGCACCTGCCATGATCAGATGAGAACTACAGTGTAAAAGTTACCCTTGCTTATACATAATTATTTAACTTGGCAAACCAATTTTCTTAGTGTTGCTCAATAAAGATAACACTATAGACTGTTTTATAATAACAGCCATAACGCAACTTGCCCAGCAAATTTAAATTATGAAAGACATGGAAGGAATTTACAGTAACTAATATTAGCTTTTGCATAGCAAACTCAAACATCTAAAATGAATCCCCTTTAAAAGCCCTTTGAAAAAAAAAAAAAAAAGGCAGCCTAGGAGAAACCATTGCAAAACCATCTACAAGATTGTTTTCAGAAGAGTCTTTATAACAGGTCTGAAAATATCTCCCCCTTTGTCAGAAAGTACACAGGCTGCTCTCATTAAGTTACTAAAATACTGAGAAGATCACCAAATGAAATCAAAAGTTCTGTCCCACACAGTTTCAAAACATTTGACACATTTGGCCTCTGCCACATTCTTATACTTGTGCATGTAACTTCTACATAACTAAGACAGCAATAACAACCACGACACTTCTGCTACAATTTTTTCTATGCTAAACACTATCGTATTTAATATTATTTACCTTACTAAAATCAACGGTGCTGTTTTCTCTGCTTCCACCTGTCCCAGTACCTTTAACATCTCCACTCTTCCCATTGTCTAAATTTCCAGGTGCTGATTGTGGAGATGCTAATAACCCTAGATTAAAATAAAGGAGATAAGTTTAAAATGGTGTTTAAAGTGAACTGAGTATGCAACACTACTAAAAACTCAATGTGGCAGCTTGCTTAAAGCAAATGTGCAAGTTATTCAGTCAGAGTGCCCTACATTAGTATCATAAATGCAACATAACAATTCACTGTGATGCCAGAATAATGACATAATTTAAAATATCAAAGTTAAATGTTGCCTAAATGATGGCCATTTGCAGAACAGTCACCAGAAACTAAGAGAGACTCTGATTGCAGGCAATAAAAAAAAAGTTGACACTAATTGTAACTGCCCCAGTATTTAGTAGACAGCATCTTTACTATGTTTAGAAGCCTTTCAATACCAAAAGGGAACAACTCTTATCTACAATTTGCTGCATAACAGGTATTTCAATTGTAAAAAGTCTTGGAAAGCCTCAGGCTACAGCTACAAGGAGCAATACCCTGGTAGTTCACTAAACCTGTACAAGCAAACAGGAAGGATATACATACAGGAAGGATAAACAGCTTGCAAACCATAATTTCAGTCAGCATACCTAAGCTCCAACTATTGATCTGCCCACATGATACTATATGAAATGGTCTCTCTAACTCATTAAATCGAGGCACGTACAATGCAGTTATTAGAGTTAAATGTACAGCTTTCTTCTGTCACCTGAACCAAGACAACAGTTTTACGCAGCTTGCTAAGTCAACGGTGAACCGCAGGTTCAGCGAAGGGCGTGAAAATAAAGTGACCTACGCGTGTTCATATATAGTGAATCCCGTGTTGCTATGGTCATCCCTACCCAACTAGCACTTAAAAGCTGGTCTAGGCATGCATAACCAAACCCAAACCCTATTTTTTTTTGGATTACAAAGCATTTCCTTGTTCAGTTTAATGTGCACTAAGTGCATTTTGCCTTGCTTGTCCACACTAGACCTTTCAGATGTGGTATTAAACATGCTTCAACACGCTTGCAAAACCACAACTAAAAAAAAGCCTGATCTCTAAGTTTTGTATTTCATGCACAATTTGTGTTTAGATCAAGCATCGCTCTAGTCAAGATAAAACCAAATCCTCCCTGGCTACATTTTGGCTATTGTTCTATCACAACAAATGCACTGTTGCCTCTATCCACATTTATTATTTAGTAATTTGATGTTATTTAACATTTCAAATTACAACTGAATTCACTTTGATTCCCAAATTTATCTCCCAAAAACTCTTTCAAAGAGTCATCATCAGTCAAAAACATGCAAGTCCAAGCCTTAAGCATTAATTTTCATTCTTGCAGTTCATAGGAGTATAAATAGTGTGGGTAGTTTTTCCTGAAGCAAAAATTAAATGAAGTTAATAAGCTGTAATTTCCTTTTTGAAACCTAACCACGCACAAGTAATTACCTGACACTATAAATATTACATTCAGTTAGCTAGACCAACAATAATCACATTCAATCCTTCTGCTCCGAGATCTGTTATTCACAAGAATAACTAAGAGCAAACAGCCACCTGTGAAATTAATTGTTCAAAATATTTAACTGTTTAAGAATTAATGTTAAGATGTGTTTGTAGAACTGGAAATAGAAATATTAAACATTCAGTGCAGAAGAAGAGCAAGGTGGGCATCAAAATACATTTAAACATTTTTCACCTTTTCTCTACATAACAATAAAGGTAACTGAAGATGTATGTAACTCATGAGCAATAATGCATCATTCCACACTTTCCACAAATGCTTTGTGATCAAGAGCAAACAGACTAGAATAAAAAGTGAAGTCAATCAAGGAGGAGAATAAAGAATAAACTAACTTGATTCAGTACTATTTGTCATTGCGTGACACTGATTCTTCTACAGCACTTCCTTCAAAATTTCCTGTTACTATTAAGTTCACAAGTTCTGGCACTGATACAAGAATATTTGTCCAATCCTAGACTATGTATAAATGTTTTTTCTTTCTGTTGTCCTGAATGTAATACTGTGCTCACATGAGAATACTGCTTACTTGCTTTCAGACATGGAGCAAGTAAGCATGGAGCATTTCCAAATGATATTGCATAGCACAGCATTATGCTTATCAGTTCATCCAGTATCTGCAGTGAAACTCAGAATAAGAAAATATTAACTCTAATAGTAAAACAACCCAAATCTCACAGTAATAAAGGCATAAAGGCACTTTTTTTTTTTTTCCCTTTCCTTCTCCACTTGGTTAGATACAAACTTGGAGGCTTTTGGTAAAACCAGTACCACCTAATAGTTTTTTTCAGACAGAAACTCATCTAGTCTTACCAACTACTGATGCACCCATTAAAAATGTACAGTTCTCTTCTTGATGTTGTCATGCAGATAGATGCTCCATCTGTCTCCTTCAAAAGACAGCAGTGGAACGAGTCTTGAGTAAATCTGGATTAAAACCTTGTAAAATCCCTTAAGTACTTATAACCACACCTTCACTAAAGATTATGTGCTAACTAGACTTACTTTAATACTATGATTACAAAAAATCTAATAGGAATAGTTCACTAGGAAAGAAAAGCAGAAGACATTTGCCTCGTGTCCCTGCTCCAGTAAAAAAGAAAATCACGTTGGGGGAACTAAGATGAGTTCAACACCTAAGCATGGTTGTTCCAATACAATTATGTCTATATAGGCAACACTTATTAAGGAGAACCCTTTTAAAGACTAAGTCACACCATATTTCTGTTTGAGGAAATTTTTTTTTTTTTTAAATAAATTTCTATGCTGCCTTATGCGGAAAAGAATTAGAACGACTTACTCCTAGAAGGCAAACATGTCAAAGCTTTCTGAATTATCTTCATGAAGTAAATTTTAGGAGAAAAGTTGCTGTTATTATTTTATTCAGTTTTAAAGTACATTTATCACTGAATTAAAAGTTCTATAACAGGCTTTTTTGCTGTTATTAAAAAAGTTTAATGTTGCTGGTGAATTAACACTGTTCATCTTCAGCTGTGGCATAGCTCTGTTCTTAGTTCTTCCTATGGAATTCAGTATTCAACAGTTTTGAAGATGGGAAAACAAAAACAGACGACAGAAGAAAGAATTGTTAAGGAGAACCCTTTGCCTATTTCACTCACTATAAACTAGTGAATGGCTGATGAAAATCAAGTAGCAGTTTGAAAAGTGTGCCTCCCTTCCCTCCTTTTACAGTAACTCACATGAAATTCAGTAACCTTCCAGCGATTTACAAAGTACAAAATAAAAGCAATGAAATCTGAATAGCACGAGGCCAAGGACAGAAGAATGCTGAAAAGAAGAAAGCCATCTATTAGCAAATTAAAACACTTCCCAATATTCAGAGAAGGCAAACACAAGTCAATCACAAAGACGTGGAAAAAGTATGCAGGCTGCAATATTCTGGCTTACTAGCAAGGTGATACAGATTGTTATCTTTAATGGAATGGTGTTTAAGGTGTTGGGTTTTTTGTTTGTTTTTGTTTTGGACAAGGAAGACGACTTCCTCTTCAGGGTTCCCTTCTGAGTCTGATTAGACAGAAGACAAGACAGATTAGTTCAGTTACAGCCCAGAAAGTCACAGTCTGAGAATGTCTTCAAATGCATCTCAAAGGAAAATGTCTTTCTGTGGTCAAATGATTTATTGAATTAAAGAAGAGGAAAAACAGAAAAACAAAAATGTCTTCCATTATTACTTGTGTTCTTTCTTTGGAAAGACATTTATTTATGGATTCACTGGGAAATCATCACTTTCAGATTTTTTCTTTATGAGAAATATCTCCTTGAGGCACAAAAGCAATATGAATGTGTCTTGGAAATTCTGGTGGAATGCTTTATTAACGTTAACAGTAGTATCAAGTATTTGATCTTCATTTGTTTGCCTTCTCTTGGGTTCTGAAGATCTTATGTCTGACATGCTGTCATTCCTGCTAGATGAGTAGAAAAATGAGAACTGGAAAACTTACAACTGTTTTTTTTTTGTTTGTTTGTTGTTTTTGTGGTGTTTTGTGTCTTGTTTTGTTGTTTTTTTTTTTTTTTTACTTCTGGTTTTTAATTATCTTTGAAAGGTCATCCATGAGAGAGAATGGTCTTAATGAGAATTCTCTTAATTTCCCAGAAGCAGGGCAGAGAATGAGGTTTTTGTTTGCTCTTCTGCATTGAAGTAAGGATGGGGCCCCTACTCCAACTCAAGATGACAGCCTATAACATAGCTTACCATTTCCTTTCTAGCAACTTGCCGCAAAATATGAAAAGGCAGATAACTGCAGCCTTTTCTGCCGGCTTGTTTTCACTGTTGCATGCAACTGTGTGCTCTTGCTTACCCTGAAACTAATCCTGATAAAGAGATGGATAGAGCTGGATGGGTTAAAAAAAAAATAAATACTTCCACTAAGTATAACCAAATGATAAAGCAAATCATATTTTTCACATACCCATACAGTTCATGCACAGCAGCAGTTCAGAGACAACTATGTTCCAATAATCTTTGAAACCAGCTTTTTTTTTTTTTTTTTTTTTTTTAAATACAGACATAAGTAGACAAATCTACAAGCTAGATTTTGGCAAGACAAGCTTGTGGAAAAAAAAAAAGCAGGACTCTGAAGTCTGAAAAGCCGGGTGATACCCTTAAAAACAAGGTTTATCCAGGAAAATCTTAAAGTTTCTAAGTAGGTGATGATTTTGCAAAAGCAAAACAAGGATAAAATCATGCAGACTGTATGTAACATTTAATAAAACTGACAGAAGAAACTGCCTCAACTTCCCATCCTCTCTCACTATTTATCTATACACCTACATAACTTTTTACATGTAAAAACCAAAAGACTAGCTAGTCAGCAGCTAATAAATTGTTGAGCTGTGACCTAGATATGCTTTTAATTACCTTAAACTATTTTGCATATCAAACACAATAAAACAATCTGCAACCGTCTGACACTTAAACTCTGCAGTAATGGAAAGCTACCTAGAAACAGGTACAGGTGAACTCAACCTGACAATTCCAAGCTACCATTTGTAATGGCCCTGTTTCTTAAAAGCCCAGAAGCAAAACTAAAACTGCTGAAATACTTCATGATGATCTAAGACACTCATTATTACAACAGTCATTATTGCACCTTTTTTCTTTTCATATTTGTCTCTAATACTTCACTATGACTTGTTCTGTAACCAGCACTGGACAACAAACATTGGTGTAAAATACTACTTCATTCACTGACAAAAAGAACAAAAAAAACAAAACCTGACAGGGATTGTAGGTGAGTGAAAGGAAAAGGCCACCATTTTTGACATTTTGCTTATGTATTATATATTTTAAAACAAAATTCCTTTTTAACTACACAAATGAAGGTTAAACAAAGAGTTGTTTTGCTAGCTTTAGTTAAAAAGCTAAAAAGTTAAAAGTGCCATACAAGAAAACAGTCACAAGTGAGAATAAATAAAACATGCAGGCAGAGGTAACAGTTAACATAACCCCTTGTGCCCAAGTTATGTGCTAAAAAACATTGCAATGCAAGTGATCCTGATGCAGAGAGCATCACACATGGATAGCTTAAGTTTTGATAGTTGCCTGGTGTTTTGCCAATATTTTCCTCTGTCTTCTTTTCCTGGCTGTCCTGAACTTCTAAGTCCTCCTCAGGTGGATGGATAATTACTGAAGGAATATCATCACTGGCAGAGGACACCAGCAATTCCTTGCCCTGAAGTGAACTTGGCTGGGCACTTGTGGTTGGCGGGTGGCTGCAGGTAGGACTGGAGGGTGGTGTGTTTTGAGGGGTAGTGACAGGGGTTGTACACCTTGAGGTTGCCGGAGTTCCAGCTCTTGAAGAAGGAAGAAGGTAATTGAGAAGAACAGACAAACGGTTTTCTCCTCTCAGGGAAATATTTGAGGCAGAGAGACCTGTTCGCAAAGAGTGGCGGGAGGCTGAAAGGCCTTCCCCTGAGATAAAACAAATGAAACACCATGAGGCTTACAACAGGGAAATACTCAAAAAAAAAAAAAAAAAGAGAAACAAATATGCATTAACAATTTACAAAGTAAATTGCAAGCTTTATGGGCCAAAAGTGTCATACTCATGCAAGTAAGACAAAAGATAAGAGCAGATCCGATTTTAGACATTAGGTCAGAAATTACTAATAAGTACTACTTAGAACACCAAAGATATGTGGGAGAAGATATTATTTCAAAGTCACCCAGATATTTTTCTTAACATAAGAACAAAACAAAAATATTCTGTCTCTCAGAACTGACTCTTAAAATGTCCTAGAATTTATTCCATATTACACAGCAGCTACCCCCTAACGCCATCCAAAAAAAAAAAAAAACAACCCTTAACAGTCATTAGCAGCCAATATATTACAAGACTTCACATTTAACTGCATCTATTATATACAAAGTATATAAATTGTAAATTTTTAAGAATTTTTTTCAAAAATGATCATGATCAAACTGTCAAATCACATTAAATACAACTGTCTTCCAACAAAGTTCCCGTTTTAATAGGAAGTTTTCTAGCCAGGTGTAGTCTCAATATATAGTTTTAAAGAGGGTACAAAGAGGAGTTACATGGCCCCTTCTCCATCTCTTCTTGCTGTGACATACCAAATATCCCCTTTTTGCCTAAAACCAAACATATTTCTCCAAAATTCAGTGTCAATTTTCTTGCCCTATCCTGTCTCAATGCCCCACTATTTTCATGTTAAAGAGAACATAGTCTTGTCACAGTTCCTTCAAATTTCTAGTTCTTCATTAAGTAGGGAGAGAGACTGTCAATCTTCATACCAATACTTCTGTTATAAGGTTTAGTGAAACCATTCCTCCTGTTTACAAATAAAAAAAAAAAAAAAAAAAAAAAAAAAAACACTTCTCCTGGGATGGCAGTCTCTTTTGAGGGGAGTACTGGTTACTTCTCCTACAATCTCTGAAGACCAAAACATGCTGTTTTCACATAATATGCCATCAAGCAAAAAACAGCAAACTAGACACATTTAGTCTCACATTTGTAGTGGCGTTATACAGAGACCAACATGCTAGACAACCCTAGAATAATTTGTAAAAAAGAGGCAAAGAAAATATGTTTAAGTACATGTCACATACATTTTTTTCCTCCTTTAACAGTGGAAGAGTGGGTTCTACAGATAAAAATGGTTTAAAATAAGAACTGAAGCCCCAAAGCTCAGCTATCAAAACTGCAGTACAGTGAGGACAGAAGGACCAATAAAGAAAACCGGTTGATTTTGTCTATGTTAATCACTGTGGTAATAACCATTTGACTTGTCAGTATGTTTATGTTGAATTATGAACATAAAATGTCCTAATCCTAACACACACAGGTGTACAAAGAGACTAAAAAGTATTATGCACTTGTGTTTGTTTTACCAGTTAGTAGAGGGCAACTATATTAGGATAAAGAAAAAAATTAACTATCACATGAAAAAATTACATCTGGTTGATACAGATGTCAAGGGATGGATAAAACCAAGTTTATATTTGAAATTTTCATATTTGCTACACAAAACAAGAAGGGTCAGAAGTTATACAGAAGTTACACTCTAAATCAGTCACACTTCCATTCTAGAAAAAACTAATTCTGAAACTTCTGGCGAAATGTTTAACCATGCATCATATATTCACTAGCTAACAATATGTGTCAGAAAGACTAGGCTTGAGTATACTCCACATATGTATTGAACTTGGATCACCCAACAAACACATAACTAAGAAGAGTACATGTTCTGAAAAATAAGGCGTTTTCAAAGACTGGAAAGGAACTTCATTGCAAGAAGTTACTCAGGAAATCAGTACTGAGTTTTCACTAGACTAAGAAATTCAACATGAAATTATACATGGCTTAGTTACTGCAAAGCATAAGAAAACACAAAATAGAGAAGGAAATAGAGGCAGTAAGAATAAAAGTAAGCTGCTCTGCAGTATTTATTGCTATCTGCACTTTGGAACTGGATGCCTCAAGTAAATTTATTGACATTCCAGTTTTTTTTTTCAGGAATTGGTTCAATGAAAGACTTAGAACAGCCTCTAAATACATTGTGTTTGTTTTTTTCTTCCCCCAGATAGATTGTTCTCTACAAGACATGGTAAAAATTAACAGTTTCCAAGGTAAAAGTAATTTCTTCACCATTAGGATGGTGAACTCTTTCTCGTCATATAAACATAATAACGCTGAATTAAAAGTCACTAATTGTCAGCATCTCAACATGACTACAAAGTAAATCTCTTGCATAAAGACTGAATAAGCAAGTACAAGCCACCTGACAAACATATACATTATGCCCCAATGCTGAAATTACTCGAAGATTACACATTTTATTCAAGCGCACCCTAAAAAGTATTTCCTAAAAAGTATTAGGACCAACATGGGTCTATTTCTACACTTCAAAACCATAATGCATGCTACACATACAGGCAGAAGTAAAGCATTTGAGTAAATTCAAAAATAAACAGAAACATCAGCCATAGCTACACATAGCACATACTGTTATCATTAGTTCTTTGCTTATCAAGAAGGAAACACTTATCTGCTAATATCAGCTGAATTTTCCTTCATCTCCCAGTGAGAACATTATTTAACAGGTTAGAATAAATTGGACACTACAACTTATCTCACCATTTCGTTCAAGCAAGTGAGGGTCAGAATGTTTCTTGCCTATATCTGCAAAAGACCGAACCAGGGGAATCCGATTGCTGAATTTTTTCTCGTTCTGATGATGGTGCCTTTTTAGAAGAGCCTCTCTCACGTTCTCCCTTATGGATTCATCCAGCTGGCCAGAAGCAATCATGTTGTCCAAAACCATATCTACATAACAAGAACAACAGAAAAATCAAAATTATATACATATATCAGATCTTTCCTTCTACACACTAACACTGCAGGTGAACCAAATCACAGGAAAAAAAATAGAATCTATTTTACAGAAGTACCTTCTCAAAAGCAAAGTCATCTTCAAGAATCTAAATGAAATTTCAAAGATGTCACTAAACAAGCAAATAAGCAATGCACAACATGTGCATCCAAAATACCATTTATTACTAGCATCATTTTAAGAAATAAGTTACTGACTTCATGTCATTCGTATACTTTCAAAGAAGAAACATAAAGCAAATGCTAGTCTCGTCATCTAAAACTGACTAGTCAGCTGTCAACAACATCAAGTTGTAACGTGCTCTATGGGACCCTGCTTGAGCAGGGAGGTTGGACTAGATCTCCAGGGATCCCTTCCAACCTCCAACCATTCCATGATTCAGAAGGATACATCATCCGTATGCTTACAAGAAGCATGGAAGTTTGCATGCCTGGGAAAATATCTGCTGTGATTACTTAACAGGTTTGTTTGTTTACTGTTATTTAGAAACAAACATACATAAACCTGCACAAACTAACATAAAACTATGTGACACACAACTTTCAAAACTCATTGTTCTATTAACTCATGCATGAAGAACCTTGCTGCACTAGTAAACCGTAGGTGCATAGAAATTTTCACAATGAGAAGGGTGACAGCTCAGAATGCCTTACAGGCAAAATCATATGCGGAAAAGTCTGTCAGTGCAGTGCAGCCTCCTTTTAGGATTACTAGGCAATGTAGTCTTTTGCTATGGCTTCTCAAAACAGAACTCCTGCCCTGTTTAAGTGAGAACCAAGAATACCTCCTAGGTATCACTAACTCAGGGAACCAGAACGATATATTTATTGCCTCATGCCCTGCCAAGAATTACTATCCTACATGCTTCCATAATGGCACCTAACGTTAACTTCAAACAAATTCATGTGATCTCCTCATACTTTTACAGACTACATACTAAACAATCTTACTCTGTAAGTCAGGAAAAGAGGAAGGAAATATCAATTTCCTGAGAGGATTTTGAAGATTCAAAAAAAATAAAAAAAAATATATCAGTGCCAAAGCTTTTATGCCAAAACAGTTTGTCCATCACATACATGTCAATCAGCCTAGCCTAGCATGATTCCTGAGAAGGCATTCCCGTCTGGTATCTGTAGCAAAAGATACCAGGAAAATTACATAAAGCTAGTTGAAAAGCATTCAGACTACGCAGATATATGTATATATGAAAGCTTTCAAAGCTAATTTTATAGTACACAATATGATCACTTGATTAGTGAGGACGGACTGTGCGCTTAGTCACATGGTCTGAACTTTTGGGTAGACCTGTGCGGTGTCAAGAGTTGGACTTGATGATCCTTAAGGGTCCCTTCCAACTCAGGATATTCTATGATTCTATGACACTCAACATAGTAGGGTCAAACAACGTTTACATAGTTTATTTCTGCTCACCTCTTATAAAGGTGAAAAAAATACCAGATGTGCAACACTCAACTGCACTAATGGCATCAAGTTAACATCAGTCAAGTTATGATTAATAATTATGGTACTAAAGTGCACAAATAAGTCCTAAAAATGTTCTGGAAGATACATACATTTAATCTGTAGAAACAAAGACGAAGAACACATTCAGGAATTAGAACATAAAAGTAAAATTTGGGCCTCATCCTAAAATCCGTAATAAAGGAGGTCCTATTCATCTAGTGCAGATGCTCGTAAGTGAAGTTTGCAAGACCAGCTCTTTATAACCAGAAGAAGAAAACCGCAGTAAGCAAGCACATACCTATTTTTCAGTACAGTGTTTTTAAAAACATAAAAAGACATCATCAAAAGCATTTCAAGTTACAGATTAAAAATTAGGAATAAAATATTAAAAAAGTTTTGCTGCAACCTGCTATCTCATCTAGTGTGTTTGCTCTCATGTCCAACATGACCGTCCCATTAAGAATACAGCTTCGTAGTTCAAAGAGACTGTGTAGAGACAGAGTTGCTACGTAAGGTTTGCTCCATCGATCACCTCCATCTTCAACATCCTCTTCAAATTTTAGCCACCTGAAATGTGTACATACACACATTTATATTCTTCATGGAAGACAGACAACTTGGCAATCAACCCCATCCTTCCCTATGACTTCTAAACAACACAGAAGAGGAAGACCTGTCAGCTCATACTGGCTTTGATTTCTCAAACAATCCAATTAATTAATGGTTGTAACATTTTCATCTTGGCCTTTATCCATGCTCAACTGCTTTAGTTTTTGCCAATTTTGTTTCATCAGGTTTCAACAACACCTGTCTACTCATGAATTCTTATGAACAATGCACTACTTGATCTGCATCTCAGCTGTCTGAAATGCTTGTATACAATATTTGAGTCTCCAAGGATGCCAAGTCAGATGTTCAAGAGTTAGGCAACATTAATATGTTTTACTATACTATTCCAGATCTTGATTCTGATTCACAGGTGTGATGCAACTTGAACTTCTGCAAAAGCTAGCACGCACTAAGATAATTGGAAGTACTTCATCCAGAAGAATGTATTACAGCACATGTAGAAGGAAACAGTTTAACTGATGTTGGCCAAACATATTTGTGGCCTCCTATAACATTCATGCATATAACTTTGCAAAAAATTAATCAAATACTTCCTAAAAAGAACGTGTAAATACCTAATTTTATTTAGGTTTGAGAAAAAAAAAATGACACCAATTTATCACCAATAACAGAGCAAAGATTTCTGAGACAGTAAATACTATGCTACATGGCTGAACACCTGTATTAATAACAAACAGCTGTACCTTTCACAATGCTCAGCATGGTGAGTTTTAGGAAAGTCAACATAGCATCAGTAAGACTGAGGGTCTTTCAACAAAACATATGAATTCTTCCAAAATTAAACAAAAAAAAAGTTTTAATTTGCTGATCCTGAATTTAACCAACTCCTATAGTTCACAATAATTTTAACTTAGACTTGGTTTGCAGTTCTCTGAGATAAAATCATTAGAAAATATACATTGAAACAATCTACTTTTAGCTTACCGAGCAGTTTCTTTCCATTCATATTCCTCTCCATCCCTGAAGCAAAGTTCATCCATTTCAGTGAAGAGATCATGGGGAATGTGTTCATCATCATCTTCAGTACCCAGGATAAATTGCACTCGTTGGGACGGCGTGTCTGGAAGAAAATGAGAAAGCCAACAATTAAAAGAACTCGCTTCTATTATGCAAGAAACAAAATGTAATACTTGAATATCCTGGACTCAGTTAGAAACATGCAGTACAATATTCTCTTCAAGAGGGCACAGAAACAATAGAAACATGGACATCTCTTTAAAAGGAGGCCCTTTTAAAAATTTGCTTTGTTTCTGCAAACAAAATAACATCTGGAAATTTATGTTTGCATTCTGGTAACACAATTAGGTATTTTTAATTTTTCAATAGATTAACGATATGAAAACATCCTCAGCAAAACCAGTAGGAAAGTAAAAAAAAAAAAAAAAAAAAAAAAAATCCTGTCCCAAATCCAGTGTATCCTAGGAATCCTGCCACATCCGGTGTATCTGAAAAAACATCCCAGAATACAGAAGTAAATTTCTATCTATTTAATATTACCTGATGCTTTGGAACCTGTAAGGAGACTCTATATGATCACATAGCAATAATTTGTATTTGGGAAGGTAATTTTTGAAGGTAGATGGAACAAAGAACTGTACACAAACAGTAAAGGGAGGTTCGTCAAAGCATTCCTATTTGAAAATTCTTTTGTTTCAGGAACTGGTCTTAAATACAGTGTTTTTCTCATCACAGAAACATGACAGAACAGTATGGTATCCACACCCAAAGTAGAACAAATAGTTACCCGTTACACCATAATTTTTCCAGTCATTATAGTACAGGAATAGAAGTAGGTGTGAGGTCTTCAAGGAAATCTACCAAGAGAAGTGCCCACTACTTTCATTTTAGATAATATGACAAATCATCTCTTGCTGACAGAAGGGTGAGTGGATGGGGGAATCCAAAACTAGAACTCAGGAGGCAGTACAGTCTCTTACTATCAGTAATGGACAGGTGAAAGGGTGGAGTAAATGGATCAAATGGCAAATGTATCCATAGTTTTCTCTGTGTCACTCAGCACTTTTGAAAGAAATGCAATAACACACAATCTGGAAAATGGTGTTTAAGTCAAGTAGTATTTTTTAGGCTAAAGGGGAGTATTAAAAAGCCCTGGTCCAACCTATTCAGTGCAGGCTGCTAAACATTCATTCAGACACCCGGATGAAACCCAACAACTTATGATTCCTTCAGATAAAATATAACTACAAAATCCTTGCCTGATTGGAGTTAGAAATACACAATTGCAGTAAGAATAAAAGAAACAGCACAATGTTTAAGCACAGAGTAACTATTTTAAGCTTATTTTCAAGAGACACAAGGAACTCCCACAACAAATGTATTACCATATGATGGAGATTCTCGGCCATCCTCTCTATCAGTTTCTTTTTCTTTTTTTCTTCTGTGATGCCTGTGCCCACGATGTCTATGCCGTCGACGGCCCTGCTTTCCAAAGGGGACGTGAACTCCAATATACACAGCTCTGTGGCCTTTCAAGAAAGTTCAAGAGGAAACAATTGAACAAAAAAATTACCTCCTGCCCAAATTTAGTATCATTGTAAAAAACAAGGAGTCTGACAAACTAAAACAACAATAAAAAAATCCAGAAAAACTTTGCAGAACTACCTTTATTTAACTAGTGTTACCATTTGTTTTCTGTCTTTCCCCAGTGTCAAGGAATTAGTGCCATACTCACCTTATTGGGGAAACGAGTAAGAATAAATTATGGCCCAATTCAAGAACTCAGTTGTGAAACAAGTAATATAAAACAGTCTTGATCTATACTGGAAGAAGCTATTTGAAAAGCACCAGGAAACTAGTAGTAAAGCAGAGAAATTACAAGATACACCTTGTTTGTTGGGAATCATCGTAACAGGATAGCGGCTACAATGGCAAGATGTGATCTCACAGTTAAATTTATAAACTTCAATAAGTTACCCATAGCTTACAATCTGGAAGTTTTCTATGGTTGAATGAACCACCAATATTTCTCTAAATATCAACACACCTAGCTGAACCTGAGGTTCAAATATATCATTCCTTTAATATCATCAGTTGAAGAGCTTTACAGAAACTTACATCTTAAAATGCATTCCTAAAACGTCACACAACTGACACAGTTGTTGTTATCCCCTCCCTCCACCATTCTAGGATCTTTAACAAATTTAGATAGCACATCCTCAAATTAATGCATGCTGCAGTTTAAAAAAATTTACTTTCAACATCTTATTTTCCTTTGACCTCTCACATTAATGCAATACTAGCACCAACAGCCTGACAAAAAAAAAAAAAAAAAATCAATGAACTGTTATGAACATATTACTACAATGCCTTCTATAAAGGAGTTAGCATGTACAATAACCTTTTCAATGCCTTTTTAAACAAACAATCTCAGGAAAAGACACATTAACTATAAGCCTGGAGGTTAACACTAAATACTTTGTTTCATAGAGTAGAAGAGTTATTACAGAAGACTGACTTTAACAAAAGGAAAAGGAAGTGGTTTTTGAGCTCCTAGAGAGATGTAAATTCAGCAAGTTTATAGAAGCCGAGCAAGCCACAGGAGTTGTGACTATACACATATATGCATATGTATGCACACGTCAAACATGCCTTCTAAGAAGCATCTTTAAGCCTCAAGATTATATAAATTTGTAAATAATACCTTATAAAACAATATTTTCAGTGTTACACAAGAGAAAGGACTAAGCAAAAAAAATATCAGTAATATGTGAGCAAGCTCAGCGTCTGTTTCATCTAGTCAAGATTACTTTCTGAATTACACGACCTGAGGCTTGACTCAATTCAAACACTAGCTTTAACAGGAGTGGACTGACTGGGACTATGACCAAATCTGAAATGAAGCATTTTGACAGTAAACTTGTTCCCTTGAAGCATAGAACACAGATTAAGTTGTTGAAGCATTCATTACTACTATTTATCAATAGAGACCTTTCTTTTATGAGTTTCTTCCACAAAGAATAGCCAGCCCTGCTGGGAAGATGGACCCGCACCCTCCATCTCTTCTATTACCTAGGAAATCCTGAACTGCTGCTGTTGGATGCTGCAGGGATATTAACACCAAAAGGCAGAGTAAAGCTGCCCAAGAGTTATACAGGTTGAAGCTTAATTCTAACTTCACAAACAAAAGCACTGAAAAACACCCTAAAAATAAAGAGTGCTGCGTTGATTAGGTCTGTGCTCTCTTAACTTCATTATTCAAATAGGAGAAACTAAAGCCAGAAGATGAACAGATAAAGATTTAGTTGCTAGCACGATTTCCAACAAAACAAAAAACACGTAAGATTTTTCTTCATTCATTCCCAATGAACCGAGAAAAACAACTTACAGTTCCCCTCACCCTGGCCAAAACAAATCGCCAGAAAAAGACTGGCAACATAATAGTAATAGAGGAAAAGGTAACTCTAAAACGGCTATGATACATATTACCAGAATCAGTGTCATTTCAAAAGGAGCACCACCTTTTACTTGAATAGTGTTTTTAAAAGCTTAAAAAGTACAATTGCTCGACCTTCAAAGCTTAACTCCCACCAACATCTGTACCACAGCACCACTCGCAAGTAAAGCCTGTTAGAGAATTACTTTAAACCAATCATCAATAGAATTAGTGGACTGCCTGATACTAAATTTAGTGATAGATAATTGTACATTTTAATCTAACATGACTTTATCCATGCTTAGCTGTTCAAATCCACCAAGGGTATTTACTATTAAGGCCCTTATCCCTATGAAAAAAAATTTAAATGTTAGGAGTTCACTATGTCTCAATCACATGGTAAAAGTCAGTTTACAGTTTATAAGTCAAATAAAAGTGGAAACAGAAAATGCTCTGTTTAGATATTCTGGTTTCTTCCCAGAGCCCTAAGAAAATATTAATAGAAGACTTCTAAACTCCTGGAGAGATAAAAATCAGACATCCAAAATGCTCTGATGTGGCAACTGTGTAAGCAGAATTTCACACAGGACTTCCTTCTTCCTAACCATTACTTTGACAGATGGACAACTTTTAAGCTTCATACAAAGAATGTTTTTTGCTACACTACCGAGGGAAATCAAGATAACACCTACATGGAAAGGAACGTTATACATTCTCAAATCCTGTTACTTAGAAGTTTGAACTGCAGAGACGATACTAATTGCTGTTGTAAGGGACATCTGGAGATTGGCTATCTGGTTCATCTCTCTCAAGAAGGACCACCTTCAAAGTTGAAGCCGTCTTTTTGATCAGGTTGCTCAGGAAGACAACCAGTCAAGCTCCAAGTGTCAGAAAGGACAACATACTCCACAAAAAAAAAAAAAAAAAAAAGACTTCCAAACATTCAGTCAGCACTTGCCATACTGCATTTTTCATCTGTTCCCCCTCACCCTTTCACTATGCATCTCTGACAACAGTCTGACTATCTTTTCCATAAGCTCCCAATAGTCAGCTAAAGATAAAAACTTTATGATAGGAATCGCTATTTAAAAAAAAAAAAATCATCAGATAGTAATTATTTGCCTTAGCTGGAGCCCACAGGTTCTCCACAGTCCAATATATTTTAGGATCTGTTAAGCCTTCTGTGCCCTATCCTCAAATCCCCTGTTGCTCATAGTAATTAAGTGCATCTAAGAATATGCTCTTTGTACTGGAATGGTTGCGTAGATAGTACTGAAAAGCATAATCCAAAAATTTTGTATGCATAGCATATGGTAAAGCAGCTCAGTAAGAAAGAGTGTTTTCTCACTACACAATGAAAGCCAGCATCACATTATGCTGACTGGCAGAAGCAATAAATACCAGGACTCATTACACACAGAAGTGGGTTTCTTCTGTAGACTTTAGAAAAGGCAGAAAAACGAGTTGGTAGGGGCAGTCATAAGAGAAAAATGCACTGAATATTTATTTCTACTTGGCACAATCAACAGCATTCAAGAAGGCATTGTCAGTAATGACATGAGACGTGGAGGTAGTACCAGCACTAGGAAAAGCCCAGTGCCAGCTGACAGAGCTACACAGGGATTGTGGCACTCCACATCTGCCCCAGGGCTTTGTAGCCCACAGCCAGCATCCACCTCTCTCTCCTGGGGAAGGAGCCAGCACTGGGAGCTGGCTGCCCTCGTACCACGCATCCAAGTCAGACCATAGCTGGGTTCCACACTCCAAGCTGAAGGTGTATCATCCAGCCTGCCTCAGCAGTGCTCAGGAGAAAGGATGCATAGATGAGATCATTTCAAAGAGATGTTTCTGCTGGAGAGCAGAAAACCTAGAAACAGACAATTTAGGCAAAAGTTCCATTAAAGTCAAAGGTTGCCCTCTGCCCACTAATAAATCAGTGTTCTCAGCCCTTCCCAAGGATGCCAAGCCCTGTAAGTAGGCTAGGCTTCCACAGTCGATACACTATTTATTGATGATTTCAAGAGAAACATTTGCAAAAAAAAATTCTCCACTTCATCAACAGTCATAAATGCATTATTTTACAAACTTGTCCAAATACCTGTCTCTTGTACAGCTGCTGCACACATCTTTAAGTGGATTAATTTTTCCCCAAATACCTCTATTTCCTGATATTTATAAGGTATGAAAAATATTATGGGGGAATCTTGTCGTATATAAGGGTTAACCCTTTCTGAGGAAAAAAAGGTCACCTTTTCTTCATAAAAAAAATAAAAAAATCTTCACAGTTAAGAAGTTTCAACTGGTGTGCAACACTAGCATTCGATGAATTTCAAATGGAGAAGTCATCCATTCAGCAAGAATTCTGAGACCCGTCACTCCACAGCTTTAGTCAATGTTTGGAACATCAGTAAATGTTATGGAAAGCCATCAACAGACAATAAGTTGTCTTCTGCCTTGTTTCAAAAATCTTTGAGGAAGCTGGAGCCATCAAGTTCATTTTAAAGCTTTAAGTTTCAGTTGGTACTGTTTGGTAAACTTCTGTATCCTGGCCCTACTGCTTGAATAACAATTTTACATGTTTCAGATTATGAAACTGCCATTAATTACCTTTTCATAAAATTTCTGATACATGCAGTCAGAACAGGAGCATCAACATAAGGTTCTCCCAGATAAACTAAGTTTGCAAATAAAAGAAGTTAAGACACCGCTTATGCCATAAATTTTTAAACAGCATTGCTTCCATCTCGGTCCATTTTACATTAAATATTTATTTTAAGTATTTATGTAAAAGGCATTAGCTTGTTTTTAATGACTTCTATTTTAAAAAGAACTTTGTGTTTAAAAGAAATGCTAAAATTAGCATGGGAGTTTCCCAAAATGGATTTTAAGCATTTAACTATAAGCTAAGTTATTGTCTGCTGCAGATGTTCTTAAGGTAAATCTTTTAAGTTTAAGTGCTGAATCACTTTGTTTATTCTCACTGTCTAACCTCTAGTAGTGGATTTACAGCATTGTCAGCTCTAGAGAATGAATATTTGATTATCTAGCCTTTCTTTTTAGAAATTGTAACAACTCAAGGATACTCATTTTTCA